GATATTTTGAGTGAAGGAACTTTTGTTTATTTAAAAAAAAATTATAAAAAGTAATTTCGTGTGTTGATAAAGCGTTGCTTTTTGGCGAAAAAAAAAACTATTGAAGCAAAGGCTTGGCTTGATAAACATCGGCATAATAATAATAAGTGGTCAAACAGAAACTGGGATCTTATCTCTTTGATTGGACTAGCGATACTGTTGACCAATAATAATTAAACGAAATGCCTAGAGACATAAGAAATTTTCTAGTGTTTCTTTTGTCAACACATATCATTAATCTATAACGCTTCGGCTTAGCGTACCATTGTCAAGATAAAAAAAGTAATGATTACATTATTACTATCAATTCTTGTAAATTGCAATAGCTTCATTATTGCTTTGAATTAAGTCGTAATTTTCGGAGCTCAAAGATGGTGTTAGTAGTTCCAATAATAGATTTTTGTGGTCACTGTACGTATGAAAGCACACACTTATTTCGTTTGAAAGTTTTAATGTTTAAAGTAATTGTTGTACTTACCGGAAATATAATGAGCGGGGCACTTCCTGCATACGACTCGTCCACCTGATTTTTGGCACCTTCGAGGCACACAATCGGTGCCATCGGCAGAAATCAATTCTGTTGCATTGCATGGTTGACACATATTGACACTTTTTTGGATGCTGTCCGGTGCACAGGTGCAACCAAAACCTTTGTCAATATTTTATCTCATGAATTTTTTTAATAATTTGTTTAATATAAAAAAACAGCTTCAAATAAAAATAGATTCGGAATTTTATTTTATACATTATAGATATTGAATATAACTCTACTTATTGTCTTTGTAGTTCGTATAAGTTTATAATAAGGGTTATAATACGCCTAATACATAACCTAAAAGATTTATTAACTTACTTCTAGTAAGACACATTTTTTAGGAATATAAATATAATACATACCATCATCTGCAGGTACCAGAGAAACATTGGTGTTACAAGATCGACAATCCATTCCAATAGAATCATAATATTCGCCAGTTTTACATAAGTTGGATAATCTATACCCCGAGACTTGAAATACAAAGAACAACAAAAGATACACCATATTTATATTACACGATTAAAATTATATATGTAAAAAAGATAACATAAATTTGAATTCTCTAAAAATACGTATCTATATTAATAAAAACAATAAATCATGAGAAAAACAAAACACAATTAATTTTCATTTGTTTTGATGGTAACTGTTGCTTAGCAACGATAATAATTTAATTCGATTATACATTAATGATGTATGTATCGGTATAGTTCTATCTTCACTTGAATTAATACTGTGAGACTAGTAAATAAATTTAATAGTAATTTAAAACTAACGAATTTACTTCCTATTTAGTATTTCTTTGTAGCGACACCTATAAATGGGACTACAAAATATGGTAACCTTAATTGCGCTAACAAAGTGTTCACTCACATCGTTGAGTGAACTGAGCACCTTTTGACGTCAGAGTCTGGGGCCGTCAGGGCAGGAGAAAGCGCGCTACATCCTTCCTACACATCCACTTGTTCCTGGCTTTTTTTCCAGTCAACAGTTTCGTTAACATATAAAAATAAAAATTTCACGGGTTCTCGTTTTTTATCTTCAACTATATACATAAGACAAAATAAATTATGATGTGTTTCTATTGTTATTTCCAATCAGACACACAATACATGATTAATAGTTTGAAATCCTAAAAGCATAGCAATTAAAACGTTTTATGAAACAATTCATTTTGCGAATAATGCTAATGGAAAACCCAGTCACAACAATGTGATAGTGCATGGCACCTGATCTTATTTATTTCTCAAGTAAAAAGCATACGAAGTTTTTAGGATCCCTATTAATTAATTGTGACTTTAAGATAAGATAAGTATGTTAATACGTGTAAGAGAACTTTCTTTTCATTGCCGTCTCCTTATACTATGTGTATGGATTATGTTAATTATGATTTCTAATTCATATGGAATAGTTGTAAAAAGTAAAGAAGAGAAAATGATTCAAACAGTAGTTCAAATAGCAAATATCGATTTTGAATATAGAACACAAACGACTGTTATTTCGAGAGATGTCAATAGTTCGATAACAAACAAATTTTTGAAGGAATTCAAAGGAAGTGTCATAATCGAAGCTAAAGATAAATCTCCAAAGCAAGTTGTCTTGTTATTAAATTCATATGTATCGTTCGTAAAGCTATTTAGTATGTTGAAACCAGATTTAACGGGAAAAACAATACTACATAGCGGAGCAAAATTTTTAATAGTTTTATTCTCGAAACCAAAACGACTGACACGAATTTTCAGTCATTTGTGGAAATATTATGCTGTCGATGTAGTGGTTATCGTCTATACCAAAATGGACAAGATCGCCTTATACACATATTTTCCATATAAAAACCCGTTGAGCTGCGAAAGTGTACGGCCTAGTTTAATTGGACTCTGGGGAGAAACTGATATAGACCCAAATGATTTCTATCCAGACAAAATGTCTAACATGAACGGTTGTCCTTTATTCATATCAACAACTAAGGTCTACCATCCAGCTACTGAAAGGAAAATTCCGTTGCAAATGATAAAAAAATCCATGCATCATACATTGGGGGACATAATGAACTTCAGGCCTGTAATAAGCAATAAACAATATATAAGTATAGACTCTGATGGTGCTGTGAATTGGACAAAATCGCTCAATGATGTTATCACTGGTGCGGCGAATATTTCCACTTCCACTGTCGCCCTTGGATTCGAAAAGGCAAATCTTCTTGATTTTTCCGCACCCTATTTTAGAATACGCCTGGCTTGGATCGCACCACCTACTACCACTGGAACAACGTTGTGGAAACTTCTAGCCCCGTTAAATGGTTATTTGTGGCTCGGTCTTCTTGTCGTTACTCTCTTTGTTAAATTCGTTCCATATGGGATGAGATTTAAGCCCATCAGAAATTTTAGTTATCGTTATTTTAAGGGCTTTAAAAAACTTAATAGTGTTACATTTAGGACCTGGGGTGTTTTGATGGGTCAGCCAATCCGCGTCACGCCCAGAAAGTATAGAGATTTCTATATCATCGGTTTATGGTTATGGTTTACATTTTTCGTAAGGAGTGCTTACCAGAGTGTTTTAATAGGAGCGTTAAAAACAGATACAATTGTTGGCAATTTTGCCAATTTGCAAGAAGCTGTCGATGAGGGGTTCACTTTTGGTGGAAGATCAGGAATTTTGGGTTATTTTGAGCATGATCCATTGTTTAGAGAAGGTTTTAAAGTTATAACAGATTCTAATTATGAACAGATATTCCGCGATGTTTTAGATTGCAAAAAGAAATTCGTCATAGCGACATCGTTGGAATATGCTTGGACGTTATGTGTAGCAGAAGCGATCAGCGAAGAGCACTGTGGCTATGTGTTGCCGGATTCCATTTTGATGGTTCCTCTTGTTGTTTGGATGCAAAAGAGTTCTCCTTTTATGAGACCCCTATCAGTGTGGTTACCGAGACTTCTAGAAAGTGGATTATTAATTAAGGACGCAGAACAAAAGCCATTGAAAGATGTTAAAGCATCTGATACTTCTCCTCTTACTCAAAGACAAGCAAGTAGCTGCTTTATTTTTCTTATTCTCGGTTATATATTATCAGTGATTGTTTTTGTTGTTGAGATTTTAATTGTTCGGTGGCGCTGATAAACTGTAGAAAGGTTAACTAAATTAAAGTCAAGGTTCAATTATAAATCATTTATTTTATGTTAACGTCAATAGACCTATTACATCAACATCTAGATTAGTAATAAAACATTAATTTGACATAGTTTTAACGCTAATATTATGCAAAACATTGAGAATAGATTTTCCTGATAATGTTGATTGAAACGCAATTATTTCTAATGTTGTTAAAATAATATAAAATTTTATTCGTATGAAGTGAGTAAGTCAGAAACTATAATTAAATAAATAATTGAGTTATGTTACATCTATAAAGTTTCGTATAAAAATATATTGTGTTATAAAATTAAAAAATACATTTGCTATTGAAAATCATGATATAGTAAATTTTCACTAAATATTTTTGACAAAGATTTTCCTCATTAGGCACGGTAATACGATCCCTTTAATTAATGTTAATTTATGTGTACAGAGCTTTGTAGATGATAAGGTTAAAGGCCTTTTGCGAATTCTTCATTACTCGTTGTTTATATTTGCGAAATGACGGGATATTAACGTTTCACTTATTACCTAATTATCTACTAACGAAAAGATACGTCATACGTACGAGTACGTACGTCAATACGTCATAACATTTTTTTGAAAAAAAAGCGTTTAATTTAACTGTGCATATAAGTATACTAAGTTCACTGGAATGCCATTGTTGAGTTGTGGCTAAACGATATATCTAAAAAAATCGATTACATTTAAAGCATTGCTACCACGAAACAGCAAATTAAGTATTACAAGATATATTCATTTTATAATAATATTTTAAAGTACAGTGATAAAATATTCTCTTTACGAATAATTTAAAATATTTTATTGTTGTTTTCTAAAATTTTTTTGTTGTGCACGTCTTAAAATGAAGAAAGCCGAGAAATTGGGAGATGTCTCTTTAGAGAAAGTGAGATAGCCAAACTAATATAAATCTAATAAACACATTATTACATCAATAACATGAATTTAATAAATAAAATTTATAATATACAACAACCAAATCACAGAAGATAAAAGTAATACTTAATAACCTTAAAAATATAAGTAATATAATAACTAGGCTATATTATTAAAAGGAGTCCCTTTAGGCAAGGTTCCGAAGATACTGGCAGCGTTCCCCCTTTGAATAGCTAGACTAATTCTTTGTCCGAGGTAGCTGCCAGCTCCTGTGATGCCGACTAACCTATTTGCTATTTCCTTAAAAAAATTCAGAGAATATAAACAAATTAGAAATGATTAAATATTTAATTAAAAAATATGGAAAACACATCAATTAAGTAAGTAGCATCGTTTAAGCTGCAATTGTAGGCGGTTCAACTACTAAATAAGGTGTGTGTATAATTGGGGGTTGTATAGCGGGGAATAAAATGGGGTACTGGGGCGGTGGTTGTGGTTCATGAACCAGACGGGCTTCTGGTTCCGAGCAATGGACCAGCCAATGTGTTAGCATTCGACCGCGTCCCTTTAGTTCGACATCGCCACGACGCTCGACCACAAATGTACCCCATTGGTCCAGAAGTGACCGTGTACTTTCGCTTAGATGTATGCGGAGTGCTGTAAATAATAATTATAATTTTAGCAATATTGTTTTTATTTAAATTTAATTCTAAAATTGTAACATTTCTTGTGCTCCTCGATTTTGTTGCACAATTAAGAAAAGTTGATTTAAAACACGCGGTACTACGTGATATTTTAGCTCAAATTAACAATTTACTTAATATTGATTATTTGACAGGTGTCAATATTTTAAACGTCACACTGAACTAAAACGGATTTTAAGAATTAATCTATCTAAATTCTTTACAAATAAACGATTTATTTAAGGGTTATATTACATTTAAGTATAATATTATGACACTTTGTATATACTAACTTTTGTTTAAATATTTATATTAAAATATACAGTATTTACAATATTCTTAACCTACATAGAAATCATTATAATAATTAAAAATTTATAAATAGAAACTTAAAACAAATTTAAAAAGTTTGGTCCCTGTAGCAGTGGACCTTAAATGCTAGCAGCATTTCCTCGCTGTATTGCGAGACTTATTCGTTGAGCGAGGAAAGCACCAGCTCTGGGGTCACCGGTACTATCTACCAGGTTCCAATTTTAATCTTTAAAATAATTTTGTTCTTAAAATCTGCTTCGCTTGAATGGTTTAAAGTTAAGTTAATTAAACGCAACTTACGTTGTCCTGTGGATTCCATCCGACTAGCAGTATTAACAGTGTCTCCAAAAAGACAGTAGTGTGGCATCTTCACTCCCACCACACCCGCACACACTGGCCCAGAATGGATACCTATCCTCACCTGGAAACGTTTAATTATTTTTGAAGTGAAACTTCTTTAGGCGCATGAGGGTAAAATTTTTACGGAACGTCACGAAGATGTGCAGCGTTTTTGTCGAAGAAAATGGAGAGAGCGACTGAGAACGAACCATATAAAAATTCTATTTTCAAAATTAAAATTTCGTAAAGAGAATTTATGAAATATTAGTATTTTATATTGTATGCAAAATAATTTATTGATATCTCAAATGACGAATTTTAATTTAAATTCCACGTGTTTTTATTATCGACGAAATATATATTTTTTTAATATTTGTATTAATTTTCGACACTTAATATTTTATTGACAGTTAAATTCCTAACATATCTTCCTTTTTCCCTCCCTCTAAGTCTCGGAAATCTAAAGTCTTAGATTTATTTATTTATTTATTTAATAACAGCACAATGGCCAAACTTAGACTAAAAACAATAAACAATACAATAAAATACAATTAAGATTTACAATACAGGGTAGCATTACCCTCTTATCCCCTCCAGGTACACTCTGAAAGCCCAGTATACCACCCCCATAAGCTTCCCAAACAGGTCGCTCTCCGGTGAAGAGTCGAGAAACCCATTAAGCAGTGAGAGTAGCCGGGGAATGGGCACTTGTTGTCGCTGGACAGTGCGAGCCGAACGCACAGCGAAAAGGTTATGTTTCCGGCAGCGGCAATATTTGTCCGGGATGTATAGCCTCATGATCTCTCCCAGCAAGTATGCGCTTTCCGTTTCATTCTTAATTACACTCAAACCAAACCTGACCACCGAAAAATCCCTACGAAGCTCTAATGAATTATACCCTAACACCCCCATCAAGAACTTAGTAGGGTAGAGGTAAGGAAAGAAATTGTATCTTCTTTTATACAGATTTCTCAGGAACTTCTTTTGAACTCGTTCAATCATATCCCCATAATACCTTTCATAAGGGGACCATATGACGCAGCTGGTTTCGAGAATTGGCCTTACTAATGATGAATATAGCACCCTAGTGGCAGTGTCCGTCAGACCAGCCGAATTTCGCAGGACAAACCCTAATCTCCTAAAAGCAGCATCCGTAATCGTCCGAATATGCTCCGCAAATGAAAGATCGGGTACAAACAGGACACCCAAGTCGCGGACTCTGTCTACGCGCCTAATAACTTTCGATCCTATGCTATAGTCGCAGAGTATTTTATTCGGAGAGGCACTAAAGGTCATCACTTCACATTTGTCATAGTTGAATTGGAGTTTATTTAATTCACTCCAATGCAGCAGTTCATCCAAATCAAGTTGCATACACAGACGATCATTGTCAGTCTCAACTATTTTAAAGACCTTAACGTCGTCAGCAAATAATAGTATTTTGGAATATTTGATAACGCTTGGAAGGTCGTTAATCATTATTAAAAATAGCAACAGTCCCAGGTTTGAACCCTGGCTAATACCAGAAATTGTTGGATAAGGCTGCGAGATATATTGTCCATATTTAACATATTGGTTACGATTTGATAGGTAACTAGAGAAAAATTTAAGCAGAATAGGTCCACACCCAATTGCGGCCAACTTTTGGAGAAGAATGTCGTTGTCTACTCGATCAGACGCTTTGTGAAAATCCAAATATACTACATCCACCTGACACCGCCTATCAATTTCACGCGATACTATGTCAGCCAAAGTCAATAGATTAGAATTAACTGATCTGCGTGGAAGAAAAGCGTGCTGGCAAGGAGTGATGTGGGGAATGCATTTAGGCAACATTAGCGAGTGTAAGGACATTTCAAACACCTTCGCCAGCGTACACAGAATCGCGATAGGCCTGTAGTTTTCAGCTCTGCTTCCACAATCAGCTTTAGGAACTGGGGTCACGCGGGATGTCTTCCATAACGTTTGGTAGACCCCTGAATATAAAATAATATTGAAAAATACCGATTTAAAGTGACTAGCAAATGCCTCTGCCGCGTCACAACCATAATATTCAACATCATTATAAGAAATTGCAGACTCTTTAGCTTTTGGGTTTCTAAGAGAACGAATATATTGCCAAAATTGCGTAGGTTTATTAACCAAATTTAATGAGATAGTATGTAAATAGTTAATTATTAAGAGCTTTATTATATGTAGAGATTTGTTTAATGGCGTCAAAAGAACTTTATATTTAGTAAGTTAGTCATAAGCTGTAAATATTTCTCAATAACTAAAATAAAAAAGTAAAATAAAATTTATTGCTATTAAAAGATTCGAATACTTATGTTACATATCTGCATCTAAGACAGTGTCCTTAGATTAGCAACTTAACCACTTAAAAAAAGTATATTTATTATATTAAGTTGATCCCTTGGAAAATGGGACGGGCTTTAGTATGGGATGCTACTTGTGTGGACACGTTTGCCGCGTCATTACTTTAGTTAATTACTTAGGTTAACTGACCTTTCTTATTAACCGTTGAGTGAACTGACAGTTTTATTATTTGTTAGTGCCTATAGTAGTTAGTTAATTTTTTGTATTTTTTTAATATGTAATTTTTTTTCTCCTTATTAATTTCGTATGTTTGTTTCGTGTGTAAATTTTTTTCACTGGTTATGCATTCTTGTCGATTTAGGGTCACCCAAACTCAAACTCAAACTCAAAAATCTTTATTCAAGTAGTAACCAAGTACACTTTGAATCGTCAAGTTAAATTAATCGTAAATTTACATTTACTACCAGTTCGCAAGTCAAGGGCGTAAGCGGGTAAGAAGAACTGGCAAGAAACTTTTCCGCCACTCTTTTTAATCGCCAAGTATTGTCATACAAATTGTTTGAACTGGAGCAATTCAATCCCAAGATTAGGATCATTTAAGTAGTCCTCAAATTTATAAAAAGCTTTGTTGATTAATTTTCGTTTAACGAGGGCTTTGAATTTATTTAGTGATAATTCTCTAATTTCGCTTGGGAGCTTGTTGTAAAAACGAATACAATTTCCATATAAGGAGTGGTTTATCTTTTTGGAGCCTGGTTGGTCGTACACTCAAATTAGTTCTATTTCGCGTATTATACTGGTGAAAGTCACCATTTGTTTTAAAATCGTTTATATTTTTTTGGACATACAACAAGGCTTCAAGAATATATTGACCAGTGTGTCATAATATTTAATTCCTTAAACTTATTCCGTACCGACTCCCTCGGAGAAACACAACAAATACCCCGAACAGCCCCTTCTGCAGCACAAATATGGATTGAACCTCTGCAACCCCACAGTAAAATGCCGTACGACTAACGCTATGAAAGTAGCTATGGTACACAATTTTAGCCGTGTCCTCATCAGTAAACTGTCGGATTTTCTTTACTGCATATGCTGCAGAGCTCAGCCTATTCGAAAGAGTCTCTATGTGTGGGCCCCATTGGAGTTTACTATCTATTGTTATGCCTAGAAAACAGTTTTGTCAACAAAGTTTAGTTCACTGTCCTTAATTTTCAGGTTACCAATATCTCGCTTTACGCTAGTAGTTGTAAATCTAATACATTTTGTTTTATTCTCATTAAGCAATAAGTTATTTACATTAAACCAGTTAACTATACGAGAGATAGAATTGTTTACATCGTCCAATAATACGTTATTCCTATCACTTTAAATAGAAGTGAAGTGTCATCAGCAAACAAACCATCTCATGAACTTCGTTGACAAAGATGGGAGGTCATTTATGTAAATCAGAAATAAGAAAGGCCCGAGAATCGTCCTTGGGGGACGCCCTTGATACCTGCGAACCGGAGAGGTGACTCCATTGACATGAACTCTTTGGATCCTTCCCTTTAAATATGAATTCATCAGGCTGGAAGCTTTGCCATCAACGCCATAGTGTTGAAGCTTTCCAACGAGTATATCAGGATGAACACAGTCAAAGGCCTTTGACAGGTCACAAAAGACGCCGACTCCATCATATGATTCTTCCCAGGCGTTAAATATGTCCGAAATCAACTTCACACCGGCATCGATTGTGGAGCGACCCTTAGTGAAACCATACTGTTTATTATGTAAGAGTTTATTTTTATTAAAATGTAAAGAAAGCTGGTCTAGCATTATCTTTTCAAAAACTTTGCTCAACGCAGGGAGCACGGAAACAGGTCTGAAGTTTGACGGATCAGACTCACTACCGGCCTTGAACAACGGTGTAATCTTACTTAATTTCATTTCGTCCGGAAAGACTCCACAATCGATACATCTGTTAAAAATTATAGACAATTCAGAGCTTATTACATTAATAACGGAATTTAAAATGACTGTTGACTACCCCATATATCTTTACTTTTTTTTAAATTACTAAGCTTAAAAGTTTTAACGATATCATTACAAGTTATATGTTTAAACTGAAATTTAATATAACATTCAGGTACACATTTTTCTAGCAATGAGATCCAGCAGCAGGTGAAGAATCTAGGGACTTGGTCGTATTTAGTGGTACATTTGTAAAGAACTCTTCAAAAGAAGAAGCTACCTCTGGGTCAGATTTTATTAACTTCCCTTTAACTTTTTAACATATAATCAGTTCGTTTGTCAGACGTTTTACCTGATTCTTCATTTATTATTTTCCAGGTAGCTTTTACTTTATCCATGCTATTTTTTATTTTTTGAACTTAAATATTGAGACTTTGCAGTTTTGCAATCTTTTTTGAAATTATTTGAATACAACCTAACATATTCCTAAATTCCACACTAGTGTTATATTGCATTTCGTCATAGATTTCATATAATTTTAACCTTTTCCTGTGTAACTCCTCATTTGCCCAGTCACCGTAACTTGTTTTCTCAGAGACCAATAAAGTCTTTTGAGTAAATACTTTCTTGAATTCATCAATAAATGATCCAAAAAAAGTATTGTATAAATTATTAGGGGACGAGTTGCCACACAGAAATGGCATTCTATAGACCAATGCTTCTCTAAATCTGTCCAAACGGTCATTTGTAATAGGAGTTATCACAATTTTCTTCTTTTACATGTTTTTTGTTTCCTTAATTGGAATTCAAACCATTGACCAGTGTGATCAGATTTAAATCTATTGAAAATACAAACATTCAAAGGGGCTTGTCACTATATATATTATCTATACAAGTTGCGGTGCTAGCTGTTATTCTTGTGGGTGAATGAAATTGATTTATTAAATTGTATGAACGAAAAAGACTAAGTATGCGTACACTTGAATTAGAATGACAAAGTAAATTGACATTAAAGTCCCCACACACAATTAGCCCTTTATTACACTTTACTAATTTACACAATATCTCCTCTAATACATTTTCAACATTATTATAGACAGCTGATGGAGGACAATATAGACATACAACAATGAATTGCTCCAGTTCCACACAGGAGATTTCAATAGTTAGTTCTACAGAGAGGCTGATAATATCCTTTCTTTCTTTGCATTTAAGTTTTTTACTTATTAGGATTAATGAGCCACCATGAATTGCATTTTCTCTGCAAAACACACTACCAACCCTGTGGTTACAAAAATTAAACAAAACTTCATATTTTTTTAACCAGTGCTCTGTTATGCACAAAAGTCTATTTTTTGACTATTCAAGAATAGTTCAATTTCTAATTCTTTATTTTTCATCCCCTGTATATTTTGATGAACCACAATAATTTTTGGGAATGAATTTTATCACATAATATACTTACCTTATTATTGCAAGAGTGGTGCTCTGTTGTCCTATTATCTAATTTAAATAAATATTATTTGGAATTTCTTCCAAGGTCTTATAATCTAATGCTTGCTCAATAGAAGCAAGGGGTCTAGCCAAATTCTTGGCTGTCATCTCTATAAAATATGATAGCGAAACAGCTATCTGTCTTTTTAAGAAAGCAGGTAGGTAATAATATCTACCCTTTGTAATAAAAAAACTTTTTCGTATACCTATTGGTATCTATGACACAAAATTTATCATTATACATTGCCAATGTATGCAATGTTTGATTAAGAATATATCTTGTGTCATTTTCTTCCTTAGGAAAGCTTTGGCTATAGGGAAATGTAAACATAACAATCCTCTTAGAGTCTAAACAACAAAGTTTTTCATATAATACTAAAAGATCATGTTTATTTACATTTCCCTGTTCCCTATAAAAATTATTAAATTATTACATTTATCATTGTTTTTGATTATATGATTTTTCACAATGTTTTTAAAAGTGGCATTGGGATAGCAGCTGTTTATAAATGTTTGGCCGTCATTTAATTGTACAATAGTACCCATGTTCTTACCCATTTCATCGGAATACATTAAATTCCTTTCTTTTGCCTTAATTTTTTCCTTTAACTGAGTGTTTGTTGTGGTGTAGGTGAGGCTGTGAGTGTGTTGTGATGTCTGTGGTAATTGGAGGCTTTTATAATTGCAACCATAAGTTTTATTCTGTAATTGCTCATAACATTCTGGGTGTAATTAGAAATTTGAAGCAGATCTTCCATTGCAGAAGAATATTTTTCTACCATACATTGTGATTCTTCAAATTTAGAAGTGAGACTGTTTGTAAGTTCTTGTAATTTTAAAATTTCTGTTTTTAAATCTAATGTGTCAGATTCATATTTTAATTTAGCATTTTCAGTTTCAATTAAATGCAAGTCAAAGTTCATTTTGAAGTTGTGTGTTTTGAACTTTTAACCTGTTAGGATTGAATTTTTTGTAAATAAGTTAATAAATATACGGTCAAAATCTGTTATTAAACGACATCGAAGGGACTAATCATTTTTGGTCGTAGAAACCGATAGTCGTAACAGCCGATGACATTGTTATTAAGTACCTAATAGAATAGAATTCAGCCGGGACCTTTGATGTTGGTCAATATAACCGGTATGTTGTTCTAAACGATGTCGTCGTAAACGGTTTTGACTATATTCGCAAACTTTTCCCCACGACACACCGATTTTATGCGCTTGGAAGGAATTTACAGTGAATTACCTCAAGCCTATGCGTGGGACGATGGCGGACGACGAAAGTCCTGACAGCTTCTACTATGGCCAGGGCCATGAGACATATTTCTCTTGCATGCTGATCTCCGTTGCGTTCTGGTAGACCCGATACCACCATGTACGCATCACCTATAGTTTCTACCTATAAATGGAAATCGTCGTTTCAGCCACCGAATAGAAAACCCGGGAAAGACAATACAAAAAGATAATATTGGTGCACTGTGCACATCGAAAATTATTTAGGCATTAAACATATATTATGTTATTGTTTGCGTGAGAAGTGTTGGCTTTAAAGTGTGACTCTCATCAGCCGTCGTTGGCGATTTGAAACCCGCCTGTACATCGGACTTATAGTTCATAGTACCACATTAAAAAAAATATTTATAACAGGGAAAACGGGCAGGCCCATGAACACTCACATTGCCATAAGGGTCGCAAGTGCGATGACGGCTTTTAAAGAATCGGTACTCTCTTTTGTTGGACCATAAATTGAATTGGTTCAGAAATACTTCAGTGGCAGGACATACTTAAGGGCAGCAGGTTTCACATAGTGGTGGTGGTTTAACACTCGCTCATTCGGTGAGGTTTAAATTGTAAGGAAATCGGCATGCCTTACAAAGTCGTTAGTGTGTGTCAAACACAGAAGACTGATCACCTATTTAATTATAAGAACAAAACCAATGATCAAGAAACAAATACAAAAAAGGTTATTATTTTTATATTTTTTGCGTGACAGCGCACGTATTTCTACTACATACAGTAATTACCCTTTTCATTCATGTACAAGGCAACAAAGTCACACACACATGCACGTTGTGTAAAATATACATACTTTATAAACGTCATAAAACCCGATGATCCTGTCAAAGGTGCTATACAGATCGTTTAGCAGATCCACAACCTGAATAGGCGTGGAGGCCGCGCAGAGTTCGGTAAAGCCTACAATGTCACTGAAGTACACTGTCACACATTCGAAGCTCTCTGGTTGGACCACTTCGCCTGCCATAAGCTGCTCAGCGACGGGCCTAGAAAATGTTGTGTTTTTTATTTATAATAGTATCAAAATTTAGCTTGTTTTTGTTTATATCATAAGTTTTCATTGAAGTTACTTCTTTAGCAGCGTAGTTTGAAAGTCGATGGAACGAAAAAGCGACAGTAAAAAGAGACAGACACATAAATTCATAAGATTTAACGTGGGAGAAAATGAGATACGAAGCATTATATTGTGTCCAAACTTTATCAATAAAGATAGATTATATTAATCTTAAGAATTAAATTTAACATTGCAATAATAAATTGATTTGAAGAAAAGTCTAATACTACATTTAGATAGTGAAAAAAAGTCTAATTTACATATTATTAATTATAAAAACTTTTTTAATCATCAGTTTTGGCAAAATTATAATGGATATTAAACTTAAAAATTAAAATTACATTCATTTCATTATCTTGAAAACAAAATGTTTGAAGTTTTCACTTTTACCACGTGTGAATTGCATATATTTGATAACTATATCGATAAATCATTCTAATTTAAATAATGGTTCATTTAATTACGTAAATGTACTTTGCATAACAAATGATGTAATGAATGCAATTTATCTATATATAAAAGGGTCAAAACTGTTAATTTTTATAAGCTATCACTACTAGCAATTAATTTTTGGTCGGGAATCGAAGCTTCTAGCTTAAAGCGTTTTAAGGAGTATACATGGTTACTTCTGAGCCTACTAGCTCTACCTTGCGAAAATCTTAATCCTTATACATTGAATATACATCACCTTGGCAAAACCTGGTATAATAACTCCTCGGACCGTTTCTTCTCTAACGATAACTGTTCAGTTTTTTCTTCAACAAGTGATTCCAAGTTGTTGGCATACTGCTCCATTCGGCTCAAAAGATCATCCATGAGATTATCGCAGTAGCCTCTGTAAATTGAGTCGTTAATTGCTTTTCATACTTGGGTTTATCTTTGAATTGAGTACGCTGTTACTAAGGTGGGAAGAATATGTGTGGGCGACCGTGGGCGACCAGTGGCGAGCTAATGCTCTAAATACATTTCTTTGATCATATCCTCAACACCCATTTCAATATCTTTTAAAATACCGATTATCGTCACACAACAGTACCTATATGATTATTTTAGAACAAAATTTTTTTATATATACTCACTCATCTTAAATATAGATAACAAAAGATTAAGACATCTTCATACGCAGGTGCAACACAAGACGCAACAATATTAAAGTTTCAAGATAAACCTTTGAATATGATATCTAATATAAGAACGCATTATATACGCCTATATTTTACGCAGATTTTTAATATTTATCAATATTAAAATATTTTCTACTTACTTAATATAATTAGCATTAATAGCATCAAAGGTCGGTCTGTCATCGGGCGACTCTACCCAGCATCGGGCAGCCAGTTCCAGTAGCTCAGTGGCGGCACCCCCTCCCCCATTAGCCGCTGGTTCAGTAACCCCCACTACGGGTCGAAAAGGGGGGCACTCGTGGGCACACACACGAGACACTATTTCTATAAATAAGGTTCTACATTAGTAATGCACAATTTGTCTTTTGTTTTTAAGATAACTGGCGAAGTACATATAATCATGAAAGCTGAAACTAAAATGTGCAAACAAATGTTCAGTGTGAAAACATTAATTTTATGAGATATTTTTTTCATATAATAATACGCTCTACTCCCCTACCATTGTGTCCAGTCCACTATTACGTTTTTACTAAAAAGATCGACTCGCGTCTCGCGAGATACGCCCCGACTACATCGGTAATATTATTAATAGAGCTTGCTTGCAAGACCCATTCTTTCATTTTTTTCGCAGAACCGTTCCAGGCACATGTCCTGTAGGCCGTTACGGTCTACAGTCATCTGTGTTTGTGGCTCCAGGTCGTGCCTGGGCGGTGCGAATATAGGGAAATGTATAGGCTCATGTTCTACAGTTTGTTCGCCATTATGCAGGTACATGTTGGGCTGGTTTAATTTTAAACCTATATAGGTAATGTGTAAAGGCTCCGTGCCCTGTAAGAATTTGCGCCATCTGGGGTGTGAAACACTTCTTTTTTTAACTTATATACATCTCTAACATCTCCGATGAATATTTTTGTAGTTCCAGCCGTTGGGGATAACCCCAGGCAGCGCTCATACTTCTAACGTCTTTTGCCTTATCTGCCATTTAATATATGACAGGAGGTATGCGGCGTATTCAGGTTTTGTTCTAAGTTTTTCTGCAGCTTCTTATTACATATTTAGACTACTAACTTAATTTCACACAAGTGTGGTAGGAAATAAATTGTAGGAAATACAAACAATATAAAAACCCAAAACAAAATTCGTTGTGATTAGAAGGTACAGAACAGAAAATAATAACAGACATTATATTTGTCCCACGCCATAGAGTGTCGCTGTGCCACTGATTGAACTTAGCAAATTTAGAGGAGAAATTTGAAAAATCGAATGTGAGGAAATCACCGACATACCTTTATTAGACATAGTAGAAGTATAATGGTGAAATGGGCCAGCTCTCAGCACAATCTCCTCTAATATTATTCCGAAGCTGTATACGTCCCCTTTAAGCGAGGCCACTATGCCGGGATACACACTTCCTGCCACAAGTTCTGGCGCTGTCCATAATAATTCTGAGGAACATTTTGTTCGGTAAAATAATAAAAGTGAAATATGTATAATAAACCATAAACTAATGTACAAATATTTAAATATAAAAAACAATGAACCTAAAACGAAAAACCTTAAAAAATATAATATAATAACTAAAATATATTATTAAAAGGAGTCCGTTTAGGCAAGGTTCCGAAGATAGAGATAAGCTAGACTAATTCTTTGTCCGAGGTAGCTGCCAGCTCTTCGGTCTCCTGCGATGTCGACTAACCTTTTTGTTATTTCCTTTAAAAGCCCTATAGCGCTAGGAGCATAATAATATTATAGTAGAAACAAAAAATACTTGCCTATAAACAAAATAAGAAGAAAGATTTACATAATATCTGTAATTTTCGTGACTATGACGTGAAGAGCCTTACTTTCTCTTCGAATCGCCCAAATCAGGCTTACGAATAGTTTAAAAAGTTATAAATTAACTAACCTTATTATTATTCGTAATCTGTGGTCTACTTAATGTCGTCCCAAATGTACAACGAATTTTGAAACTACGAAAGTTCCACAGAATATTCCAAATGTAATAACCATAAAATCATTATTACTTTACAAAGTTCTAACAGTTTCAATAACAATAAAATTTTCGTATCTTATTAAAATTTGGAAATTATCTTTTACACCTTTTGGGATTTAACATTAAAAAGTTATGTTGGGAGTTGAAATTGGGATATTAAACGTTTGTAAAGAAATTTGCGTACTTTTTAATAATAATAATAATAATTCATTTGCAACAATATCGTAAAAAAATGTTATGGTGGTACAATCTAAAGTTCGCATATTTTGCCACACATTCTGCGTGAAAATTTGTTTTTGAAGTGATAAAATCACATTATTAAAAAATATTATTACGTTATCAAATTAATATTAACTGTAATAATGATTAGAATAATACATATTTTGCAAAAGTACATATACAATGCGTATATAAATTTTTCATACGTTGGCCATAAGGAAAAAGAAAAAGTTAAAAAAACAATTCTGCTATCTATTATACGCCAGCTCAGCATGGGCTGTTAAGCAAGCGTAGCAAGATAAATACGGATGATTGAAAGTTATATATTAACGGGAGAAGGCTCATCTGATGTTAAGTGATACCGCCGCCCGTGGACAATCTTAATCCCAGGGTTGTGTGCGGACCTTTTAAGTATTGGTACTAGTGTTGCCCAAAATCGGTCTTGGTCTTGAGTCTTGGTCTTGTTCTTGCATTTTCGCAAACCAAGACCAACCAAGACGCTTATACAAACCAAGACCAAGACTGAAGCCTGCAAGACTTGAGCAACTACTAAAGCCTGCAAGACTCTTGCGTCTTCAGTTAAGACAAACTGAGATTGGGCTTATTAAGTAGGTATTTGGTTTCAATCCCGATTTTGAGAGACGTTCCCCAGTATTAAAACCGTTGGTATCGCATAAACTAAAAGTGCCGCTCGTCTGAAAAAACTAAGGTATTGTATTGATTAGGTAGGGAAGTACTTATTCTTCAACATTTATTAAGTAGGTAGCGTGTTAATACTCACAAATCTGTTACCATCATCCCATGTGATAAAATTTACCCAGTAATTTCTAGCAAAATATACCTTGTAGGTTCAACTAACCTATAATAATATATTATGCTTGTTTAGTCTAATGTGCAGCAACTAGTACTCGTAGGTTGGTATGTGCTTAAAATTATAGCAACAAAGTTATATAAACATTATGTAGGTACCTACTTATGTTTCAAAGTTTATATTATTCTTCTATTTAGCAAAATTTAAAACTAACTGCGAGTCGAGTAGGTCTAGTAACAGTTTCTACGCACCATTTATGGTACAGACGCTAGCACATCAACTACTACAATCTGTCAAATTTCTTTAACAGATTTTCAACTTTATCGCTAAAAATTAAGGTTCAAGGTTGATTGGGAAAATGTGACGTTCTGCGAATAAACTGTTGGTCGGTCGGTGTATTATATACCTACATTTGATAATTTACCGATAAAGTGTATCTAGTGTAAGTGTATCACAGCATTTGACACTGTTTGAGCGCCGCATTCGCCGACAAAGAGTCCGGACAGAGGCACACAAAATTGTTACCTATTTTGGTAGGGTTGGTACAGGAGGATAAAATTAAATGACCTTGAAGATGTCTCAGCAGTAGGTAGGTATAAATTGAATGCTCTGAGTTTCTTGTATTTAAATACATTCTCACACTGGCTCAATTTGAAACTACAGCGTTTAAAGCTGTCGGGCGAGATGATATTAATAACTAAGTAGGTATTGCATCTATTGAATTGCGAATATTTTGTTTTCAAAATAATCATTGTTAATATCGGTAAATGATAGATAGTGAGTGATATACCTAGGTACTAAAATGTGAGCACAAGATTGAAAAGTGTTTATGCCATGTCAGTGCATTCCATAAGTTTATTTTAAAAAACGCTCTCAAGTAAGATTTAGAGTTTACCATTCAATTACATACAACACATTATTGAAAAATATATTTAGACGGAGTACTAGGAAATTAGTAGAAAAAATATTCTATCGTGGATACCTAGTTATTAAAAAGTTGATAAACGTTGTGTTTACTTATTTTCTGTGCTAATGCCAACATTGACAACCCCCTACCAAAATAGGTAAGGAAAATTTAGTCCGCTCCTAGACTTTGTGTCCCGCCGTCACTTTCATGTCAAAGGTCGCCGCCACTGCCCATGTCCCAAAGAATAAAATAAGTTTCCGGGTGCTCAGAACGGACACAAATAGATTATGTTGTCCTCGCAAGGAAGATTGTAGTCGTAAGATAGGTAATTATAACAAATTTTGTAAGTAATAAAAATATAGTTTATATTATTATTATTATTACCTATTATACCTTTTTTTAAAGAACATTGCACTGCAAAATTGGAAGAGGGTTATTTTAACAAACTTGAATCGTGGAAAAGCTCCAAATATGAGCGACGTCATATTGCTTTACGCATTTTGTTTTAAAATCACACACTTCCAAAAATCGAGATTTGCAGTGTCGATTTATCAACTTCTATCGTACCTACTCTACGTAGCACTATTGTCTTCACATGATTTACTAAATAAATAAAAATAATCGTCGATATTTTTCTAAGGAATACAATTTTGTTGAAGTAGGTACCTACATCGTTTCTCACTTACACTCTTTAAACTGTACCTAGTAGAAAGCGCCAGTCACAGTAACGACAAATTGCCTAAAAAATGTACCTACGCAGTACCAACTGTAATAAATCTGCTAATCTCAAAAACCACTTCCTTATGGCCGCATAGGTAGCATAGGATAGCCCGCCAAACTCTTTTTTTTTTGCAATTTGCAGGCTAGTGCTAGATTGTTGATTAAAATATTATTCGCGCTGTAAGACGTATGTAGTTACAGAATCATAATCTAAAATCTAAACTAACGTGTTCAATAAATAGCAATAGGTTAATAGGTATTTGCAAGTCTTGCGAGACTTGCAAGACTCTTGCTGCAAATCAAGACCAAGACCAAGACTAGAGCGCAAACCAAGACCAAGATCAGACCAGGTGTATTGACGACCGAGACCAATACCAAGACTGGCCTAAGTCTCGTCTTGGTCTTGATTTGGGCAACACTAAATTTGGTACGCTCTTTACCTTGGTCCTAGGGTCCTTACCCTAAGTCGAATTGGTTCGGAAATACTTAAAGCTCTTCTCTATAAAACTCTCCTACTACAATATTCTGAGTTGGTCTGTACGACTGCATGTCTGCTTTAGGACAGTGCAGGTTCTGATAATGCCATCAGGTCATATTAGAAGTAGTTCCCAAGTACGTGTTGCCAAGTATAGAGCTTTACATTTTTGTTTTTATTACAATAGTTGATGTCAATAATTAAATAAACAAAAATGGCGGATGATATGGCAGCCGCAACACAACGGTAGCGCGTTTTAAGAGCTCTTTAAGTTTTTTGATTAAGCTCTTTCAGTTAAAGGTTGTTTGAATGTCAGCAATATCTATAAAGCTAATCATTGCTTAACTCATAAACGTTTAAATAGCAAAAATCACGTAATATCCATGACGTAAAACACGTTTCTAAACTTATTCATGAAAGAATAAGTATCTTATGAACGTATACTTAAGGAAAACCTTATAAGCGCCTTATGTAAATATAGTTAGGTTTTCCCTCGAAAAAGAGAATTTCAAAAGAAATATAACTTTACCTGCCGCCTCAGTTATTTGGTTACGCATTTGACGAAACGGTTCAAATCAAATATGCCACTAAGCCTCTGGCAAAGTAATATAACTTTTAAAGTAATCGAAAATCTGTTTAGTAGTTTCAGAAATGATTTTCTACAGATGGTACAAAAGACTTTACTTCTTTATAGCACAGAATATTACTGATTACTTAAATGTATGAAAGCAATACAATTGTGGGGTAATTAGTTTTAGTTCCTATATAGTTATATTTAAAAAAATATTTCGGCAGAATCGACATTGACCTTTTAATAGTCAAAATTAACTTTGATTGTCTTTTGGTTTTTAAGTCAAAAAGTCGAATATAATACTTTAAAAAAAAATACTTAATACATGTTGTGCTCGTATTAATCTTTAAAACACGATATATAAAATAAAATCAATGAAAAGTCTTAGTTTCCTTTCGTTTAGTTTGTTTGTATGCTGATAGTAATAGTAATCGAAACACTATACGAACATAGTGTTGTTTCTGTGTAAGTCTTAAACATAAAAATCAAATATACAATAATTACAATTTCCTTAACCTACATAGTATTAATAAAAATAATTAGAATTAATAAAAAGAAAATTAAAACAAATTTAAAAAGTTTGGTCCCTTTGGCATTGTACCTTTACTGCCGGAATGTTTCCTCGCTGTATTGCGATAATTATTCGTTTAGCGAGGAAAGCACCAGCTCTGGGGTCACCGGTACCATCTACCAGGCGCAACTTAAGTCTTTAATTAGGATGGAGGAAAGCCGATTATATAAGTGTTTTCCAATGACAACAGAAATAAAGTTATTTAAACTATAGGGGAAGATTGTTACCCTTCGTACGCGGGGCACATTCATACAGTCGAAATAAAACTTGAACGAAACAAAGTACAGTCTTGTTTTTGTATGTGTGCATGAGTCGAGGTACGAACTATACATAATCAAGTTTCGCGAAATTCGCACCGATGAGAATGAAGTTACAGGCATGGACGTGTTTTCGCGCTCGGTAAGTAATTTTTTGATCAATGTTTTTGTCTCTTGTTACCGAGAAAATAAGTTTTCGTGTAGAGTATTCTATCAGTAACTACAAATATATAGATACGTCTCCAATACTTAATTTATGACGTTTTCCTATTAATATTAAAATAAGTTATATTTTGTTGTTATTCAGTTAGTGGGGTACTTTCGGACAGACTAGATGGGGAATTTGAACGAATTGTACAACTAAATTTGTATGAAAATATTTTGTCGACACGAACTGTAATTTTCATACAATAAGTTTTCGACTTGCTACATACAAATAATAATAAGGCATCTTGACTAAACCCTCTGGTAGGTAGGAAAGATTGTGTTAGTGTGCTAATTGCTCTAATATTTCCATTAACTTGTCCTGTTTGCTATCATGCTATGTCGATTATTTTTATTATATTTTTATTATCTTTATTAAGGTTGATTTTGATGATGTGAACAGATGCTTTGAATAATTTACAATCATCAAATAGTAGTTCCTTCGAAGTCAGTTGACACCTTAAGGGTTTCGATCTATAGCATTTGTAAGAAGTAATAAAACAAACAAAATCGAGGCAGGAAAACACATATACTGCCAACCAAAATAAGAAGTGCTAACCGACAAAGATTAAAGAATGTGATTCTAAATTTAAGATACCTAACTAATTAAATTTTGGTTTTCTTAAAAAACTAGTAATTTTTGTTCACTAATTAAAGTATTTTATTGTATTAGAAGTAAATCTTTATTTTTGTGTTTAATTTCATTGCTAATAAATGAATTTTGATTATATGTGTCGTTTTAATCGCACGTACGGAACTACCCACAGGTACGAAGGTACCCTCAACACTGTACGAAGGTGCCCCGTTGATGGGGTAGATTCGTACGTTTTCCAGATTTAGTTTAAATCATAATTATGGTTGAACCATCAGATGAAATCATTTGTCATTTTCTTATATGAATCTCAGTAGTAGACTTAATTTAAGTTCAATGATTGATTCATGGAAAATAAATATAAAAATAAATGTGAAAACGTACAAGGGTCCCGACCTTCCCCTATGTGTTGGTCCTCATATCAACTTACTGTAATAATAAGAATCATCCTTTATCAAGTCAGTGGGCGTGCATAGTGTGTTCAGCCCGTAGTCGGATATTTTGAGCACGAAGCGTCCGTCAATCAAACAATTCGACGAACGGAGTTTGCCGTGTGCTCCTAATCCACTGTGTAGGTAACACATACCCTGGATATGTATAGATATGTATAGATTACAATATACTGTAAATTTATACGAAAAATATTATTGGAAAATCTGCAAATTTAGACAAACTTACAGCGTTCAATTTGCGTACACTTATGTATCGTAATTCCATAAATATTCGAATATAGCGCTAAGTCGGACTTCCATATGTCAAAAAGTTATTAATAAAAAAAAATTGTTTATTATAAACATGCATAATAATGTGTAAAATTTGGGAACACTTTAAGTAAGAAATACTTGTGTCACTGTTTCAGCTTATTAATTTCTTTTTGTTATTTCTTAACCTTTTTGTATCTTTTTACACTGTTTACAATATCATCTCCAAAATATTTTTTAAGGTGGAAACATACTACTAAAACGCCACGCGACGCAACGTGTCGACACCCGATGTCCATCGTGCACATTACCAACACGCGACACCACGACACACTTGCAAATTCAGAAGTCATTTAGCTGACAATTGACATTTGTGCCAAAAACTCGAACGTTTGACGCTTGGCGTCAACAACACGACAACACGCCGATCCAAATCGATTGGATGTTACCGCGTGTGATCACATGGCGTGTTGTCTATGTGCATCTGACCATATTAAATATATTGGATTGATAAGTACTGACATGCGTCGGATGGCGTGGTGTAGCGTCGCGTTTTGGTAGTATGTTTCCGCCTTTAAACAAAAAGCATTGACGAGACGTGTAACACGCGTGTGTGCATGAGTGTGTGTGGGTGAATGTGAGTGAATGAGTGAGTGTAATTTGTCAGGATCAGGATAAAGGTGGTCTCAGGAGCTTCTCTAACTCTACAAAAGGTGTGTTCATAAGCCAGTCCTTTAACCGTTCTTTTTGCCTAATTAATTTATTATTATAGAGCAGTGTTAGCCTAGCCCTAGCGGCATCAGTGTGCGACTCTCATCCCTGTGGTCGTAGGTTCGATTCCCAGCTGTGCACCAATGGACTTTCATTCTATGTGCGCATTCAATATTCGCTCGAACGTTGAACGGAAAACATCGTGAGGAAACCTGAGGCTTGCCTAGACCTAAAAAGTCGACAGCCGGCGTGTCACGCACAGGAGGCTGATCACCTACTTGCCTATAAGACAAATGATCATGAAACAGATTCAGAAATCTGAGGCACAGACCTAAAAAAGGTTGTAGCGCCACTGATTTATTTTATTTTAATTAATTTCTTGTAAATGTAGTCGTGGGTTTAACATACAGAAGTTCCACTTAGCGTTAAGGTTCGACTTTCAATATTACCCTTATCTATTACATGTATGCTTAAGTTAAGACTTCCTTCAGAGCGTCTAACTGTGAATTTAGTCTAAAATTATTGTTCTGGTTGGAGAGTTATATATTACCCGTATAAAGTAATAACCAGCTATACCTGTACAATATCGTGTACGAGCGAAGTCCTAAAGTTCCAATCAAGTTGTAACTCCTCATTCGCAAGGACATCCTTCAAGGAGCCCTTAGGACAGTACTCAGTGAGAATAAACACCAACGGACAGTCCACACATGCGCCGATAAAGCGTGCCGTGTTTTCATGAGACACGTTGCGTGCCTGAAAAAATATTGCTTCTGTTGTGTACAACATAAACTGTAGGATTTTGAATGTATACTTTTTTGGGCGCGTTTTCAAAAATTTTTTTTTTTTATTTTCCTCCCCCCCCCCCCCCCCCCCCAAATTTAAATTTTTTTTGTTTGGCGCGGGCAGGAGAAAAAAAAAAAAAAACAAAAAAAAAAAAAAAAAAAATTTTTTTCCGGCGGGTTGGTTCCCTTCCCCCTTTCCCCCTTTCCCCTTCTCCCCTTCCCCCTTTCCCCTTTTTTCTTTTTTTTTTTTTTTTTTTTTTTTTCTTTTTTTTTTTTTTTTTTTTTTTTTTTTTTTTTTTTTTTTTTTTTTTTTTTTTTCCCCCCCCCCCTTTTTTTTTTTTTTTTTACCCCCCCCCCCCCCCCCCCCCCCCCCTCCCCCCCCCCTTTTTTTTTTTTTTTTCTTTTTTTTTTTTTTTTTTTTTTTTTTTTTTTTTTTTTTTCCCCCCTTTTTTCCCCCCCTCTTTTTTTTTTTCCCCCTTTTTTTCCCCATTTATAAAAAAAAAATTATTTAATTATTTTGGGTGTGTTTCTTTGTTTTTCTTTTTATTCCTTTTCCTCTTCTCCCCCTCCCCCCCCCCCCCCCCCCCCGGGGGCCCCCCCCCCCCCCCCCTTTTTTTCTCCCCCCCCCCCCCCCCCCCCCCCCCCCCCCTTTACCCCCCCCCCTTTTTTTTTTTTTTTTATCGGTGTCGCTGAAAGATTTTGGGCATACAGGTTATAATGAATGCTACATTTATTTTGAGAATCGAAGATAATAGATACCAAATATCGCGCAGCCCGGACATACAAAACCTCTATTTAAGCCTCGACTAAAGCTATCGCGGAATAATATGCTTAAAAGGAGTATTAATACTCCCCTAAATAACCTGCATCATGAGAACACTCCACATACACATCCTCACGTACCCTCACTGGTGTGCCAGTCGCACACAAATGAGGGTAATTCGGCTGGAATTAGGTACATTAGTTAAATGTATATTATAATTTTATTGATTTTTTTTCTTACTTTCGTAAATATTTGAACCTTTTTGTATATATTACGTAGTACATCTTTGACTATATCTTTAGTATAACTGTTTTATGTTCTATATACATATAGCTGTAGAAGTACAAAATAAATAACCACATAAATCCAAAAAACTGACCTGTTTTATCTCCCACAAAAGTTTTTTATTTAAATCCAATTTCTTTCTATGTATCTTCTTTACAGCGACTCTGTTTCCCTTGTATAGACCAACGGTAAATGATGATAATGTTATCGACTGAGTGCCGACTGAATTTGTGTTGCGTATGTTCCAACCTAGAGATAGCTAAAAACAAGACAAGTTATTGTAAGGCCCCTCAAAGAATTACCGACTCATAATCCCTTTGATTGTGTTTATAAGAGAGCAGAGCAATAATGCCAATAAAAAACTGAATATCTGAATTTTAAAGATACTTTCGATGAGAATCATCATCATCATCTATGGCTATACAGTCCCTTGAGGGCCTAAGCCACCGCATAGATCTTTCGTCATCTCAATATATCTCGTGCTGCTCGCGTCTAACTTCGAACACCTATTGCGTCGTGGTCTTTGACAACTCCATCCCACCAACGCAGCCTCGGTCTACCAGGTTTTCTCTTGCCACCTTCCATTTTATGAATGATGATGTGACGATCTTCATTGAAGCCGAAACGCTAAACTCTGTAGTCACAAACAGGGGCAAGAATTCGAAGATCGAATTTCGAAGAATCAAAAGCTTGAGATATTTCATATTCAGGTATACCTTTATTTAATTACAAAATAGAAGCAAAAATATTCTAGAATTATTTTCTATTTATTTTTTAAACTTTCTACTTTTTAAATAAAGATAGGTTGCTAATAGAGGAAAATTTAAAATAAAAAATACATATTCTGTACTTTAGCCGTTTTTAGTCTAACCAGCCAGCACTTCGCTAGCCTAAACAAAACCATTAAGCAGGTTATTTATTAGCAAAGCTTGAGGTTACATGTAAAGGAGTACCAATATATACGCGTTATCTTTGTTCCCATTTCAAATAGTTCTAGGTGATTGCAAATTACTTTTCACTTCAATTACTAGAAGGCTTCATATAATTGCTGCCCGAGAAACAAACAATAAAACACAATGCACTTACTGACTGTTAAATTAAATTAACTCTATTCACTTCACACGATCCCTTTAACAATGCCATCAAATTAATTAATTGAAAGTGTATTAGACATGTTTTATATTCTACGCAGTTGTTCAGTTAACGATATTGTATGCTTGTCCGCAAATTTCTCGAGAACTAAAAGTCGTGTCGAGATGATACTTTTTGTTTTAAATGTATATTTAAACTTAGGGAAAAGTCCAACCTTTAACCTGTAACTTCTTTTTTATTTTAAAATTCTGTTATCCTCAATACAGTAGAAATATTACTACCCCAATTTATGATTAAGTCTAAGATCGAAATTTTTTTGTCACTTGATGTTGACTGGCGGAATACAATTTTGTTTTAAAATTTTAAAATGTTAATAAGCCTATTTAATGCGATTAAAAAGAATTGTGCAAAGTTTCGTGCCAGTTGCCATTAAATTGAATTGATGTTCACAAGTGAACTTTATGTTACTTATATGAATAACACATGTTAACATTTTAATCCATGTATTCTATTATTTTTGAGGATGAATGTCAGATAGTAGTTAAATGTATAATTAACTAAATGTTGAAGTAGTTTATTATATATAGCTGCGTTATTATTTCAATAATTTAAAATCATGTAAAGAGCTAATAGAGAGTTTTCCACAAACATTAAAATGGAAACTATTAAAATCATCGAATATAAATTGATATAAAAAACTCTTTGACGGGAAATTTTTAATAATGGTATTCATTTGGATATTTATTATTAGCAATATTATCATTAATATACGTTTAAATGTTATATTATTATTGTCTGCATATACATTAACATTAACTCCAATCCCCCCAAAAAAAGTTGGATAGAAGATATAGAAACGGTAGCAGGAAATGAATGGAAAGCCATAGCCTACCATAACCTTAAAGGGGTTCCGATCGACGGTACCTATTGAAGGTAGCTAGGATATATAGGATAACAAGATAAAAATAATGTATAAAACTTTAAAAATCTACGCTGTAAATGATTATTATTTTTGTCATGATTAGAAATTAAACGGGCTTTTATTGTTATATATATAGAGCACTGTTGGCCTAGTGGCTTCGGCGTGCGACTCTCATACCTGAGGTCGTAGGTTCGATCCCCGGCTTGCACCAATGGACTTTCTTTCTATGTGCGCATTTAACATTTGCTCGAACGGTGAAGGAAAACATCGTGAGGAAACAGATTCAGAAATCTGAGGCCAAGACCTAAAGAGGTTGTAGCGCCACTGATTTTTTGTTATTTATTATTATTATTATTATTATTATTATTATTATTATTATTATTATTATTATTATTATTATTATTATTATTATTATTATTATTATTATTATTATTATTATTATTATTATTATTATACATTCACTTATTTATTATCCTTTCAAAATTGTCTAATCCATCTACTGCAGGCACAGGCATAATATAAATATGCTGATAAGTTTACCTTTAGCACCTCATTAATGCTGTGAAGAACGGGAGTAGTTCCAATGCCAGTGGCCACTTCAACAAGAACCTCTTCAGGTCTCACACGCCATGCTGTGTTGTTCAATTCCGCATCGATTTTCATCTGCCTTATAATTTAACGAGCATTTAAAAACTATAAATTGATTTGACGTGTAAATTTGTAGATCTCAACATATTCTGGTTACAGTTCTATGTTTATCTTAACGTAACTTAAACGTAATTTAATTAGTTTCAAAACGGAAGAATCACATTAAACAAAAGAAAACGACGCTTTAGTTAAGTTAAGTTAAGACGTTAGTCTGCTAACTAGACTTCGAAACAGTTTGAATATATAATTATTAACTAATTATAAGATAATTAATTATATGTAAATACTACGAGTAGCTGACCCGGCAAACGTTTGCTTTGCCATGTATATTATATCTAGGAAACATTTTTTTAAATGATAAAATAACTATATACAATAATACAAAATAGGGGTTGATCGTAAAGGGGTGAAAATTAGGGACTGTATGTATTTTAGTAAATGCTGTATCATAATTTTTTTTTGGGATGGAGACCTCTTATCACTTAGGGGTTTGAAAGATAGATAGTAGCCGATTCTCAGACTTACTGAATATGCATAAAAAAATTCATAAGAATCGGTTGAGCCGTTTCGGAGGAGTATGGGAACGAACATGACACGGGAATTTTATATATGTAGAGATATTTTTTCTAAAAATTTAAAAGATTTTGTTCATACTTACTTGTATGCAATACAAGATGCAGTAACCGCTAGCGTAAAGAACACAGCGAGTCCGATAAAACCATATATTATAACAGTCTGTGCTTCTGAGCAGCGTGCAAACCATAAATATTCATTAACTTGACCCGACTTAGACGATAAAAGTTATCCAATTAAAATTATATACAAAGTTAAACCAAGGATTAAAAGTTGAGACTTCGAGCAATACGATGGTGTAATGTTCTGTACGTATACGTATATATTGCTTATGAAGATTTCATATAAACCCATTGGGTAGTAAAAATATATTCCAAAATATCTACTAAATCCGGGTTTTTCTTTAAATAGAAATATAATCTACAGTGTTTTTGTTTTTTTTAAATATATTGTCTAGCTAATTACTCCCAACCTTCGCTATGTTGTCGTCGGCGGTATTAAATAATTAACGTATACAACTTAAGTAACTACTATTATTATTAACAACTTTTTTTATAACATTTACAGCAAATTCCAGAATGATGTCTCTTTACCTATTGTTCAACATTATTTCTTTTAATTTCGCATTGATTACTTTTATTCCCATAGCTTGTTAAGTGTTATATTTGTCGTATCTATTGGACAGTCGGTTAGGACATGCAGCACCGTCTCTTCAGTGTTTTTGGTTAAACGTAAACCAAAGTTGAAACAATGATTATAAATATAATAGTTAATATAATATAAAGTCACATGTCGCGTAAAGAAACTTGGCTTTATATTGTTCAAAAATGCTAGTAAAAATGTCTTTAGTAGCTTATTAAATAGTTTTGCTAGTACGTCGATAATTCATTGTTACATAATGAACACCTAGTTAAAGTCTACGTTTAGGTCTACTCCTACACTAAATTGTCTTATAGTTCCAGTAAATTTACTAAGGCGTACTGGCGTACGTACCTAGGCGCCTGTTTATATTATAGTTTAGTTATAAGAAAGAAGAGTCCACTGTGGATACTATTATATACTTATTTAGTAAAACTACATGTAAATATTAAATACGTCTTTACCTCCTTGACACAAAGGATCGTTTCCAAGGAAGCCACAGCGTGGTTTATCTGGAGGTGGACTGCGACGACCCCCAGGCCAATGAATTGCCTTGCCCGCTACTGGCTTATAGCTCATATTGAGACCGTGGTAGAATGCCACAACCTATAGTGAAAAAAAATCGTAATCTGTTTGTGTAGCAGAATAATTTTTAATGTATCCTTGTAGACAATACTGAAGGAAAAGCGAGAAATAATATATCGTCGTACAATACTTTTTTACCGCAAAACAGCTTATGTTTGAAATTGGCAAAAACTAAAAAGAATAATTATTATAGACTAAATTTTTAGATATTTTTAAATAATAAAACTAGAATTCAATATTAGGCTTTTTATGACAAAGTTGAAAAGAAGTTTTCAACGTCTAGAAATATTTTTTTTATAGAAAAATTGCATGGGCATCTGCCATGGAGAATCTCAATACCGAGGGCTCGCGGTGCTTTTCCACTCTTTTCTTGAAGGACCCAAGTCGAATTGGTTTAATAGAAATGTCTCAAAGAACAGCAAGATAAATTTAATACTACCATTAGTTTATCAATATAAACAATACAATTATTTTTGCAAAACAATTGTCTTATTTCGCAAATAAAAATAATAAGTTTTAAATAATCTTTATGTTGCAGCGTGCGGTAATGTGTCAATCAACTCTAATCTTTAAAATCAATACTTTCTCCGTCTCTAAACCTTGCTAGTAGTTACCCTACTGACTTAAATGCTGCTGAGTCACGAAGGTGGTTAGAAAAATAGTTCTTACCTCAAATTTTCCGGTGACCGGATCTAAGTCAAGGATGGCGTAGTCGGCATCTCGGTCCCCCACGGCGTCGATTCGCACGTGCCCAGTTATACCTATTAAATTATATATATACATAACAATATTTTCCTTCCAAAGCATAATAGAAAAGTATTTTTCGTTTACATTTGATCTGTGTAAGTCCCGTAATATATTTCACAAAAAAAACTGCTTTCCATGTGCTCCATTTATAAATCCTAGATGTCATGACTTACTTAATTTAATTACTCGGATATCCTGGTTCCTGTCAAAATTGTTATACCTTTAAAAATACCAATGCATTGTTTCTAGTTTTTGAGATCTGTCAATCGGGGTGAAAGACAATTTTCTGTTTTTGTATGTTGTTGGGTTTTTATGTGCATGTTAATAATATAATATCTTAGACCAAAATGCCAACTATTTGCAACACTAACTTATACCAACTGGACGCAAAAAAAGTCTGCACTCTATTATGGAGATATGAGACACTATAGATAAATAAAACTGAGAAACATTCTTTAATAACTGATGGTTATAGGTAGATAATAAACCCGAATGTGCTGTTTTAAGACACTGGGTCATATATACATACATGTCCATGTACCTGGTGCCTCAAAACAACGCAGATTTATGAAATAAAAGTTTTAATAATATTGCTAAATTTAATTTTACTAACATAGTTATAAGTATTACTCTTCTAACAATATATGGACTTATAATGGTCTGAATTAAATGTTTTTTTATTATTTATAAACACAAACAGGCAGATGAAATGTGTTAATCTATCCGCAAGCTGTTATGAAAATATAATCGCGCTCACCATGAAAATCCCGACCCCACATACGGCGAGTAATATTTCTTCCGTCGCGAATATCACCTCCCTCAGTCAGAGTCTCATTAAGCGCCATTCCGAGCAAATATACACCATCATAAAAAGCCCCGATGAAGAAATTTACCTTAAAAGCATGATTAGTTTAGACAGTTTAAATTTAATTAGCGACTTGAAGGCCTACGCGGTATGGCGTAGTTTAGGCACAAATTTTTAAACTATAATTAGGGATTTATATTTTGACTTAATGTGTGCATATAATTCGGTTAACAAATATACTGCTTCTACTTCCATTAGGTTCACTGCATTCACTGAATGAAAACGCATTTAAATATTGCAAGTATTCTGGTTTGAAGGATGTAAATAGTTTAAAAATTAAAAATGGTTGTCCGTAAAGTTGGTTTAACGTGACAACGTCATAACAAAACATTGATGAAATGATTGCATACTTTTATGAATAAGATTGAATCATTTCTTATTAAATCATCACTATCTTGTATGGATACAAAGAAGGAGTAAATCCTCGGAGGCATTATCCAATCGAGTGGAAGAATGATAGGGACAATTAGTCATGCTTTTTCGTGCGTACAGCCGGTGTTTATCGATTTATTAGATGTTGTCACGTCAATAAAAATACACTATGAAAAAATAGTATTTTAAGGAATTTCCAAAGCGCCATCAATCTTTGAATACTACTCGTATATAGTAGTGTTCAGCTTCATACCAAAAACATCCCCATTACACGAATTAAACTTACCTCTTCACCGTCCGAGAAAGTGTAGTTATAATGCAGTTTTGCTCTATTGCGTACTGTATCCGCAAATTCATCAAATCTGTCTCCCGTAGGCAACTTGAGAGAAACGCGAAGTAGGGCTTCGTAGGCCGCGCGGGCTGCTGCATCACGTTCATCGCCGGCTGCCCAACCCGTTTCACCCCAATATCCACCCTTAATATAAAAAAATCCTAATTGTTTTGCCTTTGGTTTATCGCAGACAGTGAGTTTTTTTTTAAATAAAATTGTGTCTATTATATTTTCTAGGTGTATCTTTCAACTATTTAATAAAATTCGCACTTTCTTCTATGTAAATATGGCGTAATTTTAACTAAATATTTTTCTGAAGTGATATTATGTACGGGAACTAAATGTAAAATAAATTGTACACTAGATTCTGAACTAATTCGAAAATTCTGAAACGCCCGAAATTTTCACGAAACATTTTAACCAGTTTCAAGACTCAAATTGTAAGATTAATCGAGTCAATTTGCAAATGGACCGATTGTTCGGAATTAATTGTTTTTAGACTGCTACTAATATAGATAGATGTTAGAAAAAGATTGATTTTAATGCTTATTTAATTAACAAGAAACGTTTATAATACTTTAACTAAAAACCAGTCTTACCACTTAATAATTATTTCAAAAGAGCTTTTCAATTACATTATTTTTGAATTAGCTTGATCGTACCCTACACGTGAGTAATATATGTTTATTTTTTATTGAACATTGTGTGATACCGCCGCCCATGGACACTCTCAATGCCAGAGTTGGTAGGCTCTTTTCTTGAAGGAGCCTAAGCGAATTTGTTCGGAAACACTTCAGTGGGCAGATGGTTCTATATAGTAGTGATGCGCGTCAGAAACTGCCTTAAAACACGCTCGGTTGTGAAACGGCGAACTTCGAGACGATACGGGTGGAGTTTCGTTATCTGCCTCGAAGTCCGATGATGTTACTCAGCTGCAGGTATTAATCCGAACATGTTAAGTGACTACAGTTACTAGACCACATACAATGAAAATTTTTTGTAGCTAAAAATTTAATTTATGCTATCTAGATATTTGTAAAAATAAAATGTGCAATAAAAGAATATATAAAACATAAGAAATTGGACCAATCCAACATCAAATCTAATAAAGATTTCCCTGTCAGGTAACATTCGTAAGAAACAAAGTAACTGAACGTCAATATCAGACCGTCGACATAAATTCATATATAAAGGGATTTGACAGGTAGAGTATAAAGCATCTGATGGATTGCCTTTTTCGAATCGTTATAATGCCTCGGATAAAGAAATCTCAATTTCTCAAAGAATAATACTCAATTTCCGCCTTTAAGACTCAATTGTTGTGGTATCTATTTTACTTATAGGTATAATAAGAGATTTGATTTGATGATTGATCCACAAATTTTTCAAATAAGTGATTTCCTATCTATGAAAGTAAACTTAGACAAAATTTTAAGTGATTCATTCTGTTAAGAATCATTCCTACTCCCAACCAATCTATTCCACTTTTATACGCACGCAAAAAAACTTTGCCTGTATCGTCGAAAGTGATATTTTATTTTGATTATTATTTTTCTGTAGCCATAGGTCAGAATATGATAAATGCTTCATTACTTTACAGGACAAGCAATTAAATTATTAAGAAATCTTGAAGGGATTATTAAAATATGAAACACTCGATATATGAAGAATGTACTTATCATTGTCTGATCTATGACCACAGATTAAGATATGGAAATCAATAAAAGTATAAAAAAAAGAAATTAAATAATTGTAATGAGGTATTGATAAAGCACTGATATATGATTACAATTTTGCCTGATTATTTACGAAACGTATAATATCGCTTACATATTATTTGTTACTAATTTTCTTTGAATTTAGAATACATATGTTAACGTTAATAGGAAATTAACTTAATTGTCGTTTCAAGGCGTAATCAAACTACCGACGCTTAATACGTTATTGACATGTTTAGTTTGTATGACAACTACTAAATTACCAAATGTTTTAATTATATCTCATTTACTAAATCTAAGTTTATTTCCTATTGTATATCGCTTGCCTGCGGTTTCAACTGCCTTTATTTAAGACGCACATCAACAACGCGTGCGTGTGTTTGACCATTATTTTGTTACGGAATTATTTTAAAATAATTTATCTCTTGATATTAGTTGAAGAAGTCTGAAATAATAATGTATTGTTCATATAAGGTAAGCTTCGCAACGGATGCTATTTTCGAAGAATATTACCAAATCAGAAAGATACTTACGCTATCATGGAATTTTTGTTTAGAAAATTAGACCCCTATACCAGCTGCCTCACGATGTATTTCCGAACCAATTCAACATAGGGTCCTTCAAAAAATGAGCGTACCAATTCTTAAAAGGCCGGCAACGGACTTGCGAGCCCTCTGGCAATGTGAGTGTCTATCACTTAACATCAGGTGAGCATCCTATTTGCGCCCGTTATGTAAAATTGTTTGTTTTATCAATCATTTATATAGGTGCTTAACTTTTAGTGCTTGACTAGCAATTGTATTCTTAAATTGAGCCCGGTTACGCATTAGCAATTAAATTATTGAAATGGTTATTTATGAAAATAAAATAAATACCTGAAATATCTCAACGTCAAGAAAAGCCCATTCCCCTCTCGTCATCCCTAGGGAGTGGGCGGCCAACAAGAACTCACGGACCAGCGAGCCTCGAACACTCAGTATAACAACTGTACACGTGAGATAAGAAACATGATTTATTTGAAATGGAACATGTTTTGTTCTTGGTAATTGCTATGTAATGCAACTCTAGAAGGAATTGTTCGTTTTAGAAAAAGAATTACGTTAATTCATTTTATAAACACTCAGAACGCTTGTTAGGCGAATTTATAGTTTGGGTCAATTAGCCCTCATTAATAACCTCTTAATAATAACCTCTTAAGAGTTAATTAGTTAAGTTTTGTTTTGTTTTATACTCAAACTGAGATTTCCATCCGAGATTTATGATGTGCAGTCGAACATTCTAAACTAGACCATAGAAACAGTTGCATATTATGCAAGATGCAACCATAAATAATAAATCATAAATATTCATCGCCACGTCATAAAATTGTCATCTGGCGTGAAATGGCGCGAACAGTTGACTTAATGTCACTATAAATGTTGCAAGTCGCTTCAGTTTCAAACATAATTATTAACTTTTGTACATTATACAACTTCCACGATGTTAGCAAATCGAAAAGTAAACTATTTTTATTTTTCTTTTCGATTTCAGTAATAATAACGTAACGTAATAATTTATTATAGTCACTTACTATAATAAATTATTACGTTAAATTAATTATAATGACGTTAAAAGATTGACAATTTACCTCGTGCATACATACTGACATCCCGCAGTAGAGCTTCACACGATTCGCGCTCGTTACCATCTAATTCCCGAACAGCTTTCAGCACTCCCTCTTTCCTCAAGCCCCATTCCAAACTTTTACCTATATAACAGTGAGCCAAAAGTTTTAATAAATACCCATTATTGTTGGGAGAAAATGAAAAACTTTAATAAAAATACGGGTAATACAGCTAGTATGAAAAGTACTAAAAAGTATGGTTGTTGCCGGAGCACAAAAATTGGTTTTATTTTCTTTTATAATCTCACGAAATTGGATATTTTGACCTTCGTGGCAATTTCGAAGCATTACTAACATTCCAGCTTAATATTGTAATTTTACATATTATAATATAAATAGCACATTTAAATGCGATTTTATTTACCAAATTGTAAAATGCGAAACTCAATATTTCCGTTTTATGTAAAAAATAGCGTTATGTCTCCTGACCATTCCTATGATAGCTTTTTTGCAAATAAATTACAATCTCTTTGACATTTTGGTAACTAAGAATAAGTGAGAACAAGTGGTAGTGTCGTAAAACTTTAGTATGGCAACAAGACAATAAAAAAATAATAATACTCACCAACTGTTAGTGAAAAGAGATCCGATTTGTCAAGCAATAACGCCACATGTGTCCAACCAAACCGCTCGAATACGCTGGTAAAAACGCGTGGTAGCCGACATTGACAGTAGGACATTCGTGTTAACGTCGGATATTTTCCCTTGTCGTTGAATAGCGTCTGTGGCTAAAAAAATAACCATAAATAACAGAATGATGACATAGTTTTAATACGAAAGTGCTTATTTTTTTTACTCTTTATTCAGTATGTATGATATAAAATACTTATCCTAGTACATAAAAAATGTGAAGAACTATAAAAACTAATAATTAATCGGCAATTTCTATTTTACAGCTTGTCCTTCGACATTGGCCTCCTTTAAGAGCTTCCAAGTAGGCTTATGTCAACTTCGACTAAATCAAATGTTTAGTAGTGATCAATTTCGACCACAGAATAGCGAGATAATTTTCAAAAGAATTGCAGGGTAAACATAGTTAGGACACTACAATTAAATGTTCACATAGTTAATATTGTTTCTGAAACATAAAATATATTTAAATGACTTACTCTAGTTCCTATTCGAAGATTTCTAAGCCTATGCATGCGGCTAACCACACTCGCTGGAGCGGCAAGCTCTCCTTCAGATGGTGGCTATAACAATACATAATATATTCCATCAATGCGAATCCTTAAATACGTAACGTATAGTACTTATCAATTATCTTGTATGCATGTACAAAAATGGCTAAGAATTGAGAAAAATCATGCTATTCTATAGACTTGGCAGAATAATAAAGTGAAAGTTCAGATCGTATTATTTAGCATTCCTCTCATTTTATGGTAAAAAGTTGACTTTACAAGACCTCTATAGTGTCAGTATAAAATATGATAGCTATAACATAACGCTTTAGTCTGTAAGAGAAATGTACTAGATTTCATACGAGATGGGCGTGTTTACTTGATTCCCTACATCGAACTTTATATGGCGACCCTGCGAGCGCGCCGCTATGTGCCCGAAAGGGAAAAAGAAATTATAAACATTGAGTGATGCGATTAACTTTCATTATGTATACGTATGTGAAGGTGTTGTCCGCGGTTGATTTCCACTTTATTATTGAGAAATTATTAACAGTCCTGAAAAATAACTGTAATGGGGGGAACAGGCTAAACAAGAAGAAGTGATAATAGCACAGAGCGCAGCTGAAAATTCGGAAGCGAATAATTAAATACAATACACAGACTAATAAAATTAACCAAGAAACCAAAATTATGATGATTAAACCACTATATGTTTATAGCACCTGTATCTTTATTAAAAAAATTAAATAACTCTCTCCATAGTAGCTTATCATTTAAAAAAATCAAACACACTACTAAACGCAATACTCGTCGAGCGAGTTTGCTTATATTGCCGAAGCCGCGTACAAATTATTTGAAGAAGTCTATTAAGTATGAGTGAATATTACCGTCTTATATTAGCGCGTTTAACCAATTCAAAAGGGCATTAAAGATACATATCAGAATGAGCCTAGTAGACTAAAATTGGGACAGCTAATGGCAACGTGTATCTCGTTCGTATATACATTATAAGTTTCTCATGTAAATAAAGTACATACATTATCAATTAATGGGGAACCCATTGGATAATGAAATATTCGATAGGATTTTTTTTTAAAAATTGCCATTGGAGAGAATAAAAGCTACGTTTTGATATTGCACTATTTTTTTATTGAATTAAATGAAAGAAACATGAAATTTTCACATGTTTTAAATATAAATAAAATGTACTTATGTACAAGTTTAGAAATAAAAATCATTGTTTTTTAAACATCTCCGTCAATGTAAGCTGTTTTGCGGTCTTCAACCGTTTTCGGGCAGCCAGGTCACGGATCGGATAATCGGCGATTCGGATAGTCGGAGTTCGAATAATTGGAGTTCTACTGTACATTCTTTTTGTAATAAGAAATAAAGTTCTTCAAACATAAATAGACCGAGTACTAGAATGTTCTAACGCTACGAAATACGTTTTGGTCGTAATATGACGTATGGTACTGACTGATGGTGGAGTTGCTAGTTATAGAAAATGCCACGGGAGATAAAGCGTTACATATACGTTTGTTATAGGTATCTTATTTTATACTGACACCATACCTCCATATTTTATCCATAAAGGAGGTTTTTATATTTGCACCAAATGACTTCTTTCGTAAAAAGTCATTAAGATTTCAGTACTGATAAAAAGGTTTTACTTGACTAAACGAATGAAGGACAAAAATAAGCTTTTCTAACAATAGAACCTCACCTTTAATCGGGATCTCAATACAAATAAACTTTGTTAACACACAATCTTCGATTTTGCCAATCTTGAGATAAAGCAATACAATGAGTAGAGGTATTTGGAGAATTCATTCGGTATTGTCTTATTATAATAGAACAATTTAATATTTCACTTCTTTAAATATAACGTTTAAGGGTTTCTCAACCTTGAACTCGTAGGTTTGGACCCCGTCTGCACATCAAAGAACTTTTCTTTCTTCATAGAAAGGAAATGCCTTTCACGCAATTTTCATAATAAAGCGAAAATCGTATGAAAGAAAAACCCTTCAACATCTCAGCTATGGACTAAATATATCCATCATAACGACTGCTTATAAGCTAAGCTACGTATAAGTAATTTTCCAAGTGTTGTCACAATAACTTTCTACCAAAGTTCGTGATACGATTTCAAGATATCTTTAGAATTTTATTTTACTTAAATAAATAATAATGTAATAAGAATAGTATAACTACAGCTAGGAAGACGTTTTATTTGATAAAATGATAAATAATACTAAAAATAATTACTAATACTAATAATAATAAAACCAATTACCTAGTACTAAATATAGTATTGTCTTTGATTTACATAACCTTTACACATTTAAAGAAAAAACTGTTTAACCGGATTGAAGTTATGTATTATTATAAATTTACAACTATTTAACATAATTTTAAATTTATCCGACGTTTCGCGTGCTTTACAGCGTGCGTGGTCACGGTGACTAGTACTAAATATTTTTTCAATATATTAAAAGTGGTTTCCGAAAATTTTTATAGCCATTCGAATTTCAAATCATTTCAATGTCTTAATACATGAAATAAATATAGTAGAGGATTCGACTATGGAGTAAAACTATCAATTATTTGATATATTACGCAAATTTAATATTAAAATCATATCGAAGATTTTGAAGGCATTTCTTTTTACTGTGTGTGAAAAATAATACACGATCTTAAAATATAGCAACAACACACTAAATAATATTCTGATTATCTTAATATTGTAATAGATAATATATTAAAATGGATAAAAAACTTTAGGACTTTTTCAAAGTTTGATACGTTTTCTCACGTTGAAAATGTGAGCTGAATACAATAGAGGGATCCTGAATATTTTATTAGTTCTCTCCAAAGAGACGTTTTGTACTGTAATTTAGGTGTCAAGGAGCGAAGGTATTTCAGAAAACCAGTTTAGGTTATTACGTAATACAAAGAGAATGTAACTTTGGATAACTTTAATAATACTTCGAGTTCATAATGTACTTATATGTACAATGTAAAGCTTGTCTGATTAGAGATCTGCCCTGCGATTCTGTAACTCACTTTTCGAACTCACACAGCGGTTTTCGCATCGGCGGTCGCTCTCAAATCAGTCGTGAAGCAGTCATTTTATGATTTGGCATTCTGATTAACAATAAACTACAATTTCCCACCTTTTCAGAATGCCAAATCATAAAATGACTGCTTCACGACTGATTTAAGAGCGACCGCCGATGCGAAAACCGCTGTGTGAGTTCGAAAAGTGAGTTACAGAATCGCAGGGCTGAACCTTAGTACTGTATTAGACTCAAGAAAATATGATATTAAGAGGATAGTCAGAGCAGACGCGGCTTGCTAGTCTTCTTGTCCGTTCTACTGTAAGGAACTGGCAATAGCTATAATTCAGAATCAATCAATTTTTTTATTAAATAATTAAATAAATCCACACAGTGGTGCCACAACCTTTTTAGGTCTGGGGCTCAGATTTCTGTATCTGTTTGATAATCATTTGTCTAATAGGCAAGTAGGTTATCAGCCTCCTGTGCCTGACACACGCCGTCGACTTTTTTGGGTCTAAGGCAAGCCAGTTTCCTCACGATGTTTTCCTTCACCGTTAGAGCCAGTCGTTAATGCATAGAAAGTTGGTAGGTGCACAGCCGGGGATCGAACCCACGACCTCGACCCTCTGGAATGTTTTATTAGCGTTTATAAATGTTTTTGTTAGCCGTTTAAACAATATTTATTACAAAACAAAGAGATGAAACCCTACAATTGTATTCCAAATAAACCGTGTTCATTTTCCTTTGACTTATAAATTCTTTTAAATATTTTGACCTTTATTGACATAAAGAGCTTTATTTTTAAAACTTAACAACGTACCTCGTATTTGATAACTACGCATTATTATTCCCATTTTTGTATATTTATTGTTCCAATAAAAGTATAAAGAATCGTATTAATGAAAACGTGTTAAATGAACATAACTTTACAATAATATAACACTTAACAATCATAACGTAAAAGCAATATAACACTTTCGAACTTTAGAATTATTTATTATATGATAGGAAAACGATGAGCTCATGGGACAGCTATTAAGGGCAGCTACCGTACCGTGGATACCGACCATTTAACGAGTGTGCCGGCCTTTGAGCAAGAAGTACGAAGTATTTTGAGCAATTAGACGTTTTTTGTTTGTTTTTTTCTGTCGTCAACGTCTGTCGGGTCCGCTAGTTTTTTATATACGAGTACATAACGTTATTTACATAGTTCACTGCGGCCCTTCAGCTTAAGGCTATAAAGACAATCAATTCCAAAGAAATCCCAACCCTATCAGATAGTTCTCGCGTCTCATTACATCACAATACAATCCATTACGCCACCTCAATGCCAAGTTCGCATCAAGTGATGTGTCCACTTGCTTTTAAACTGATTTGTTTACGCCCTTGACCATTTGCGTAGTCGACCGATTTATTGGGCACTGAGGTTTGTATTGAAAGGATTGTCAATATTTGCTTACGTGATTGAAGTTATACGCAAAATAGATGACCTTTTAGAATGAAATTGCGTTTTTTTATTTATTAAAGCCGCACCAACAACACTTAAGAAAAAGATTTATGAAACTTGGCTGACGTTCTTAGCTGCATGTTAATTCAATGCGTGAACACTTGAACATATTTTAAAAGGTGAATCAAGGCTTTTGTTTTATGTTTACAATAACGATATTTGCACTATCTGAAAATTACGTTGCTTGACAATAAATTTCTTATTGTTTTCCAGTGTTCTACTGTCATGTGAAACCAAATAATATATAATCAATTGACTATTCATTTGTGAAGACTTAGAACGCGGCATTGGCGGAATTGTGATTTACACAGAAGTCGCCATTATAAATAAAGTGAAGTGAAGTGAAGAGACTATTCATTTAGTTGGCAAGCTTTTATAAATAAATAAATAATAAAAATAAATAAATAGTTGTTAGATAGCCTAACGTCAAACTCCTAAACAAGTCTACTATGATTACATTAATACAAACCACAGTGGTTTTTTAAAGTAACATATCATGATTTTATAATATTATTCTGTAAAAAAATAACTTTGGTTGTCTGTAAACTCGGTTTGCGGACGAATATTTTACATTCATAAGAAACCATTGATGAAAAATTGCATACTTTTATGAATTGAATTAAATTATTATCGCAAACTTATCATTATTTTGTATAATAAAAAGGAGTTAATCGAAAATTAAAAAAAATATAGATAAATGAACACATTGACACTCGTTAATTCAAATATTTTTTTTAATAATCAATGAACAAATATATGAGGTTATATCGCTAATCAAATCCTTAAAATGCAACAATTATCGTGCCTCTCTATCCCTTCTTCTGCGCTCTCGCTTGCACGCTCGGCTCAAGGGAAACGTGACAGAGTCATGTTTTTCGTGCGTGCAGCCGCCGTTATATCGTCAAAAAAGATATTTTTTTTAAATAAGAGGGAGCTTTGCGGTATTTTAATATGTTTTCGAACCAATATCGAAAGATCTTAATAAGAATATTACAGTCTGTACATTGCACGCACAGTACAATATTCTGTTTATGACTTTACCCTTGTAATATGGAGTTTGGAGTAAGTGTCAAAACTTCGATGATTTATGTTCGTTTGTTCTTAATTTACTATATCATAATTATAACTAATATGTTCATAATCTACAACCATTATTTACGAAATCTAATATTTAAGAAATACGTAATCAAGATTAATTATTAGGGGCATAAATAAACAATGGCGGCGGTAATAAATACCAAGTGCTTTGTAACCATGAAATAAATTGGGCTGGCATCTGCAAATATTAACTTGTTGCTATTTTTCCTGTTTTTGTTCATAAATCCAGTATTATTAACCTTTCAAATAAAAACACAATGAATAGTAAAAATTAATGCTTAATTTTAATATTTATTGAGCTGATTAAATAATACAAAATACTATGCGCAAAACATTAACAGATCTTCCTACTAGAGTTTATAAATATCGACTTAATGTACTACTTTTGGAAAAAATGTTTTATTCTATTAATGATTGTTTGCGTAAAATTAAATAAAATATTAATAATTTATAATAAATATTAATTATAATTAATATTAATTTGATAACATTTTAAGTGTGCACGTGTGCAGCAACCTAATTAAGGAGTGTGTAGGCACTTAAACATAATTAGTAGCTATTATTTTATTACGGGCTGTCGCTATACAATATGTGTTGTTTACATAAACCTCAACAACGTAATAATATACTTTAATAATATGATATTTTATGACTACAAATAATATAAGAATTAACTGATTGACCTGACTCACAGTGTATATAACTTCAATGCAAAATTCATTTTAAGACAAATTTGCACGCCATTATGTGTGGCGGAATATGCGAAGTTTTGATTGTACCACCATAACATTTTTGTACCCCATTCTTCCAAATAAATTATTATTATTAATATTAATATAATATCAACCCCTTAATTGTAAAATACTAATGTAAATAATATTAACAGAAGAAAGACGAAACTTTTGCTAATGAAAAGGTTGGTCACAAACATTTCAAGTCTAAGTGGTATGGTATTACGAAATATCTTTAATATTTACGCGGCCTCCAATTAGAAAACCATTTTTCGGATTAAGATAATCTCTTCCCAACAAAGAAATAATAAAAACACTTAGTTTTGTGTACAATATAATTCTGCAAACGATATAAACTCATCATTATGAGGATTATAAGATACGTAAAAGCCTCTTAAGAACGATTTAGAATTGCTTATTGATTATATATGTACATATGCCATAGCATATTAACACACTATGTATATAAAAAAGCAATAAATTAGTGGTTGATCCAGATTGGATATTCCAGACGCCACAAAGAAGAATGGAGAGAACCAGCAGCTGAGTTTCATTATCGGACGTCAAGGCAAAATACAAAATACCATCCGTATCACCTCGACGTCCGTCGTTCCACAACTGAGCGTTTTCTAAGACAGTTTTTGCCACGCACCACCACTATGTGGAACCAGCTGCCCACTGAAGTATTTCCGAACCAATACGAGGGTCCTTCAAGAAAAGAACGTACCTTTTCTTAAAAGGCAGGCCGCACTTGCGAGCCGTATGGCAATGTGAGTGTCCATGGGCGGCGGTATAACTTAAGATCGGGTGAGCCTCCTGCCCGTTAGCCACCTAATATATAAAAATTATATCAGTATTTTGTGCCCGAAATATGTATTTCTATCTATTCTATCATACTTATGTACGAGCTATCAGGCATTGAGAGTGTCCATGGGCGGCGACAAAGCAAAAAAAGCCAGGCATATATTGGATCGCAGTGTCAGTGGAGTAAGTATTGTCTTACGACTTTGGCTTTCGACTCTTCGTATTACTTGCAAAGGGTAGTATCCAACCCGTGCAAGCTTTTAACAAGATACGCTTAATGCTTTAATTCTATAAACTAACCTTGGCCGTAAAGATAATGAACACCTTGATTAAATTTTCAATGTCGCGCACGAGATTCTCCAGACGCTCATGAGAAACTAACGTCACACTAATTATTCGTTCGTTTAATTGTACATTAAGTTTCGAAGGAATAAACGTAGAATAGGTTTTATTCATTCCTCAGTGACATCGACATTACGTTTTTTTTTATAATACGAGGGCAAAACGAGCTCATGAACAAGCATTTTAGTGGGTGCGTTGCCAGCCTTTGAGGGAGGAGTACACTCTAACTTTGAATAGTTGATCGTATCTATCAGGAAGACCCCGGTCGGAGTCGATTCCACAGTTCGCTAGTTCGAAAAAGACAGTGCCTTGTGAAACGGACTATGGAAGACTTCCAGCAGGTAATGTTGATGAAATTTTGAATTGATACGTCTCGTATAATCCCAAAATAAATCCATGCAAAAATTCATAATTACTACTGTTTTATTTTGGATTTTATTCTCACTAGTAAATTCTAGAGGTATGTCAGCTTGGGACTGTAAACAGCAAAACATCGTTACCTTGTTCGTATAAAGTTTATACTTAAAAATTATTAGATTTTCATAGTTCTTTTGTAATTATTTAAAGTATATGATCACCTCACAGCTGTGTCTGTCTAGTAGTCTTGAGCGTACTCTCATCCCTGTAGTCCGCCCCATGTCCATGACCAAAAAAGTCAACGGCGTGTGTAAGGACAGAAGGCTGATCACATATAGTTTATTATAAAAAACAAATACAGAGGGCTGTTTCGTTCTGTTCTGTTCTATCTGATCTGTTTTGTTTGTTGTTGTTTGTCACGTGATAAAAGAGGTATATAATATACGAATTATAATATTCGTTAAGCCGAAGACTTTCCTTAGAGATCTTTACATATTACTAGCTGTCCCCGCGAACTTCGTTTCTCCTTAGTGTGATTTTACTTAGCCTACCTTTTTAGTATATACGAGGCATGCCTTTAACGAAAAGTTAAAAGTTTTGTCGTTTGCAGAAAAGAACACAACTAGAACCTTATAGTACTTTTTATTGTTTTTCAAAGTATTCACCACGTAGCTTAATACACTTTTCCATTCGCTGAAACCAGTTATTATAACATTAATTCCACTCTGAAGTGGAGGTGTTCAAAATGGCTGACATGAAAGCGTCGACTGCTTCTTCTCCGGACTGGAACCTTTGACCACGAAGACTTTTCTTACTTTTTGCAAATGTAAAGAAATCGTTAGGGTTTAGGTCAGGACTGTATGGAGGATGGTCAAGAATTTCTACTTTTTCCTGCTTCAAATACTGAATTCTTTGACGAGCGCTGTGTGAGCTTGCGTTGTCGTGGTGCAGGATGATGCAAATCAAATCAAAATACGTTTATTCAATTTAGATGCTTCTTAGAGCATGCTTATGAATGTCAACAACGTTTACAAAATTCACGAAAGAGCAAGACTACGCCATCCGTTCGCAAAACTACCAGGAGGCCTTGTTCTGAGAAGAACGGGCAAGAAACTCAGCAAGTTTGCCCTCCCTTTACATTACAATTATTCAAAGGAAAATGTCATAAACCACAACGTCATTAAGGTTACATAAGTAAAAAAAAATATAAAAATCTGTTCTGTGATTTACCACATTCACCATTACACACATATTCATAACACTTCAAAGATAACAAATCAAATTATAAGAATATAATTAGAACTATTGCCAAGCGTTTTTATCTTCCAGGTAGTCATTGACTGTGTAGTAACCTTTACACATTAAGGTTTTTTTGATGTGTGTTTTGAATCTGTTTAAAGGCAGTTCCAATATTTCACTAGGAATCTTGTTATAGCAGCGTATACTTAGGCCCATAAATGAAGTATTTATTTTCTGCAACCTGTAAGACGGCTGGAAAAGTTTTCCCTTATTTGCTATATAGATGCGTCGCTTTAAGTTAGATTTTCGAAGTTTGGCGATGACTTGTGGTAAACCAACTGTGGTATACCACTCTGCGTTAACCATTCTACGATCTTCAAGTGCGATAGTCGCAACATGGCCGGTTTTTCTACCGAACGTGGCCACCATCTTCTTTGAAGTGCTTCGAGAACGAACGAGTTTAGTCGGCTTTGGTTCGTCTTGAAAGACCCAGATTGTATATTGTTGTATGGAATCAGGATCGTAGGCATAGATCCAATATTCGTCACCACTGATGATGTCGTAGACGTGATTTGACTCTCTTCGATTGAACCTTTGCAGAGTTTTCTTACACCATCTGACGCGGGCCGCCTTGTGATCGTCGGAAAGCAGATGCGGTATCCAAGGGCAAACTAGCTTTCTCACACCAAGCGCTTCATGCAAGATCTTCTGAATGGTTGTCCCTGAGATGCCTAATAGAGCCTCTATCTCTCGATACGTCACATGACGATCTTCGAGAATTAATTGTCTCACAGCAATGATGTTTTCTTCAGTGAAGGCGGATTTTGGGCGTCCTTCGCGAGATTTGTCACTAACACTTGTATGTCCACGCTGGAATTCTAAATACCAGCGTTCGACAGTCCGCAGACATGGGGCTTCATCACTGAACACAGATATTAGCTCTTCAAAACACTGAAGCCGTGTCAGGCCTCTTCTAAAGTTGTAGAAAATTATTGCACGAACATTTTCCTTAGAAAGATTCATTTTCGGAGGTAACTTGACAGATTCAAATCGACGCTGTGACTAAACAATAGCATTAATCCTAATACTTTTAACTGTTTTGAGATTAAAAATTTAAACACTTTCGAATATAGTACAGGTCCAAATTTAAAATTGCCGGGAAATATGGAAACGACAGAACTTAAAAGGCATGCCTCGTACCAACATGGAACATTTTGCTATGCTACCCTAGAGTCTTTTCGGTTTTCTAGAATGAAAACTTTTTAGGTTTTTCTGTGAATTTTTCTCTAATAAACCTCAGAGTTCAAACTTCAAGTCATAAGATTTTAATTAACATATAAAAAATAGGGATTGATCGTTGCGGGGTGAAAATTAAGGGTTGTATGTATTTTTGTATGTTACACATAAAAAAAAAGAAACAAAAATTTTATCTAAAAAATTAAAATTAAAACTGAGGGGTGGACCACCCTTAACATTTAGGGATTTGAAAGATAGATAGTAGTCGATTCTCAGACTTACTGAATATGTATAAAAAATGTCATAAAAATCGGTCAAGCCGTTTCGGAGGAGTATGGGAACGAACATTGTGACACGAGAATTTTATATATTGGATTAGATTCATTCATAAATTATTCGAAGTAAAATAATTCTTTTTAATTGTTTAAAAGTATATAAAAATTTGAAACATGTTTCCCAAATCTGTATGTTTTACTTATTAAAGCGGGATCAGTTGGTCAACCAACTACTATCACCTCACTACTACAATGTTGCATCTTAAGTAACAGCCATATAAACTGTATAATGTAAAATGTTTTAATGAATTTAACACAACATTTGATTTTGTAAGGAACTAAAGAAAGCTGTTGATATTCGTTTTTTAAACTGCGGATAAAGATTAAAAATACGATAGATAAAAAAGTATGTATGGACAGTTCAATTTAGTTACATTAACAAATTGCTATCATCTGTGTCTGTAATTAAGCCCAAGCGGCCTAGAGAGGCGCGTTCGTTCGTCTTTCCTCTAATCAGTTCGCTTTGATGATTAAAGGGAACTTTTTCTTAAAGTGAAAATCATCAACTTAAATATCAAAGGTCGGATCAGGACTTTTTTCCATTTAGGTAATTTGTTTTTAACTACCTTTGCTTATATAAGGGATGCTAACAGATGAACGGTTTCATTTTTGATTTAGTTTACTCATTATTGCATAGTATTCACAAATAATATGTAATAAGTTAAATAACAAATATTGTATGATAATGTACAATAAATATAGTTATTATTGTCTAAAAAAATATTTATGTTAGTTATATATTCGAAATAAAATAGTATTTATGATTTAGCATTGTTTTTGTTACAAATGAACACCAACATAGAGCCTCATTATATAATATCATAACGTATTCAACTCATGATTTTGGGTTATAAATTTCTAACAAATTAGCAATGTTAAATTGCAATTCATTCCCTCATTATAAATAAAATAATACTTATATTCCTAAGAGTAATTTTATATTATCTCTCGCACCATATCTAATAAATACATCTTGTATTGTAAAAGTATATTTTCAAGGAAAATAAGTATTTATTTTTCTGTCGTATTTACTAAAGCATCTCTAAATTAAAACAGAACTATACTTTGGGGTGAACGTGCAGGTAATCTTATAACGAAATTACAGGGCGATGGCATCTTGTTTCTACGCCTATTCGTTTTGCCGAAATTGAATGAGGATTAAACCATTGATTTCTCATTGTTATTATACCAAACCTTAATGCAAGACGTAAAATGAAACGGTGATTGAAGCACAGCGTACACCATACACAGAAACGCGACACGGTTCGTATTTCTGTTTGACCAATTACATCCATGCGAAACGCCGCATTTCTTTTAACATTTTCACTTCATTCTAAATTTTTTTTTACGTTTTAGAATCATAAGACTTTTCTTTAATAAGATATTAATTGAACATTTAATCAATAATTAGCGAATATATATAGGCTAGGCATAATCCCAAGCGTAAATGTTTCATTACAGACATGGGCGTAATAATATAATAGTTACCTGATCTCCCATTCCCGTAATTATAGGCGTGTTCCAGTAGGCAGCGAGGCGGGCAACTGGCTCCAAGGCAAACGCACATGCAGGCCCAATAAATGCTATGACGTCGTTCTTGAAGTGCATATCTGCTGCCAGACCTGGAGCTAACGCGCCGGAACAGGTTGGGTAACTATAAGAAAAAAATTGTAACTGTAATGTTATTGAACAAAGTGTATGTTCATACATGTATCAAAGAGTCCTCAGTGTAAATCATGAATAGATAAATAATATTAGAAGAGCCTTTCTCTAGGAGGTATGATTGTAGAATGCCTACATTTTTTATATATATAAAAAAAACAAAAAGTAAGTAGGTTACATTAGTTATTAGGCAACGGGCGGCCTTATCGCTAACAAGCGATTTCTTCCAGGTAACCCTAATAAGGAACAGCAAAAAAAAGAAACTCCGAAAAAAAAGAGAGGGTAAAGTACAAGAAATGCACAATTAATTAACAAAAAGATACTAAAAATAACATGCAACTATAACTAAAATTAAATAAAATAAAATCTAAAGCAAAAATAATACTTATTCATATATATCCTCATAGAGAAAATGGCTGTAGTGGGCTATGAAAAACTGATATTTTGATGTTATGCCCGTAGACTTTTGAGTTTTGAATCACATAGCTCATACACGTAAAGGCCCGTAGCGTTTGGCCTACGAATGTGTAGGTCTACACTTTATGATTTTTACTTTGTTTATGTTCTCTCTTTAATCGGCAGCTCATGTCTGAGCGTCGTGGTCAGCAAGAAAGCGTCTGGAGCGGACTATCTGTTTCCACCGGTTTCTATATAACATATTCTACCTTGAAAAGAAGCAAAACACGATATAATAATATGTAAACTAAAGTTACGTAATCTATGCTGTATATATAGTTTAATTAAATAATGCTTTACATATAACTTGATGTTGAAATTTATATTGAGATTAAAAAGATGATTTTATGTTCTTACATTTATCTTTACTCCTATTTCAACGGTTTGTATTTATATATTTTTGTACTTTATTTTGGTATTTTTACAAGTTTTTATTAATTTTCTACACAATTATTTCCAGCAAAAGAACTGTTATGTGCAGTGTTGGCTTCAGCGTGCGATTTCCATCCCTATGCTCACAGAATCGAACCCCGGCTGTGCACCAATGGATTTTCTGTCTGTGAGCGCTTTTAACACTCGCTTGTATTGTCTTAGACTCAATCTTGTTATAAACTTTTGCAAAACGTCAAAACAAAGGGCTACTATTCCTTGCTTATTAAACATTATAAAAAAAGAATGGCGGAGAGTTTATTGCCAGTTCATCTCTTCCGTTCTACGCCCTTGATTTGAGAACTGGCAGTAAACGTAAAATTAGAAGCATTTAATGTATATTTGTACAGTGCAGTGTTGGTCTAGTGGCTTCAGCATGCGACTCTCATACCTGAGGTCGTAGGTTCGATCCCCGGCTGTGCACCAATGGAACTTTCTTTCTATGTGCGCATTTAACATTTGCTCGAACGGTGAAGGAAAACACAAAAAGTCGACGGCGTGTGTCAGGCACTGAAGGCTGACGACCTACTTGCCTATAAGATTTAAAATGATCATGAAACAGATTCAGTAATCTGAGGCCAAGACCTAAAGAGGTTGTAGCGCCACTGATTTATTAATTAATTACTAAGTGTACATTGTGTTACCTACATGAAGAAATGGTTTTTGAATTTGACTTTTAACTTTTATCACGAAACAGATGCTATAATGTTGTTTTTTTATCCATCTAATAAATTCACTTTAGGAAGCGCTTTCCTTTAATAAATTAGGTACGTCGGAGTACCTTTAAATTACTTCAACGTGTATAAAAATAACGATGACTTAGAAAGCTGTTGACTCTCATTTCACGCGAAAGGTTGTAAAACAAGTGGAAGAGGCGAGGAGGCTTTACGGGAGCACTTTATGAAGCCACTGTGAAAGGTGATTCTTAAATGTGCGATACCGCGAGGTATGAGTTTTTTATGAAGATTCTATTTATAGGAGGGTGAAAATGTAAATTAATAATTGCGGAAGTATTATACAAAGATTTATTTAGGCTTAAGGCCTGTATTTACTTTGATTAGTGATTAGTGCAGCCCTGCGATTCTGTAACTCACACAGCGGTTTTCGCATCGGCGGTCGCTCTCAAATCAGTCGTGCCAGTCAGCAGCCAATTCTTTAAAGAGCTTGTGCCATAAATAGGTCTTCTATTCATTTTCGAACCCATACTTTTCTTGGTCTTGCTACCAAAACTACTTCGGTTTCAGATAGCTCCCCGTTAAATACTTCTTTCAATACTTCTTCTAATTGCAAGGGCGCTTCTCGATGTTCGACAAAACGTGCTGATCGACCGACAACTGAATTGACTTAACAGAGCCACTAAATAAGAATTGGACACCACTTGCACTACACACTTGCACTAATCATACTCAATTACTAATCACTTGCACTCGCACTAATCAAAGTGAAGGCCTTTAGGTCGTAATATGTTTAAAAACAACAATATATACGACCAGTGATTTAGCGCTATGTTAAAATACGTATCTGAATACGGGGGCTATATGTCGCCACCCACCTGAGGCTCAAGGAAAGCAATACCAACTAAAACTAATCTGAGTACTTCCAAATTGACCCCATTGCATTCTACGGCGAGCCTTTTGTTCCTACTAACTTGAAATTATTGTTTCGCCTGGATCAAAACATCGGGGTATATAGCGATAGCGTAGCCATGGAGACTGTAAAATATAACTAGCATATTTATCTTAGAAAAGCGACACGTTAAAAAGTTAATATAGATAAATTTGATCCACAAAACCTAGAGATATATATGTATGCAAAAATAAACCGAATAATCTTCTCCGTGAAATATATCCTATCAGATTATGCATATTACGCATATCAAAGATATTTTATTCATAGAATATGCAATAAGATTTTCAAAGAATATAGCTAAGACTAAAAATTACGTAAATTGTTTGGTTAGAATGTAAATATAACAAATTTATTAAATTGAGTTTCTGACGTATTGGCATGTTATTCGTCGTGGCATTCAACCAATATATTTAACATCCCAACCCTAAAAAGGACTATAGCTGACAAGCGTTTTTTTCAGGCAACCCTAGTAGGTGAAGATAAAAAGAAACTAAATGAGAGGAATGTTAGGAATTAGGTTTAGTAATAAAATAAAAAATCAGCTATAAGGAAACGAAAGTTTGATTTATTTATTTACAAAAAAGAATCACCCCTGTCCTAACAGGTGACCCTAAATTGACAAGAGTGCACAACAAGTGAATAAAATTTACAGATACAAAAAACAAACATAAGAAAATAATTCGAAAAAACAAAATTACAAAATGAAACATACAAAATATTAACTAACTACTATAGGCACTAACAAATAATAGAACTTTTGTCAGTTCACTCAACGGACAATAAAAAAGGTCCGTTAACTTATGTAATTTGATAACTACATTTATAAACCGAATCATATATGCCCTTTTCAGAAGGTTAGTCAGAGTTGTGGATTTATTCAAGTCATCAATTTAGGTAACACAATGTACACTTATGAACGTCAAAACGAAATACAACTTTAGTTAGTATTAATATTAAGTGTATTTGTAAGGTGTGTATTGTTGTGTATTTCTAATGAAGGCTATTTTTTAATAATAGAATTTGAAGAGCAATAAGTGCGAAAGATCGTGCTTACAGTTTTTACAATAAGTGTATGAAGTTATTATTTAAATGTAAACAAAATATTGCGCAAAAATTATAAATTTATTATCTTAGTCATTAAATCCTATTTTTGTTGCTGTATTTTTAAAATGTAAGTATAGAACGTCTATGGTAAGTAATAATAATATAAATTATACATAATATGATAAATTTAACAGTTTTCTATATAGAAACATATTACGAATGATTTCGTGTAATGGTATATATAAATAAAATTTAGACTAAGTATAATCTATAAAAACATAAAAAACCTTGTGACACTTCCTATTTTAATTTTACCAAAATATTCACTAGAAATAATTTATATGGCAAAGCAATGTTTACCGGGTCCTTTACCCGGTTTTTGGTAGTTCTATATATGATGTTTCTTGTAAAGTAAAAGTAAAATAAAAAATCATTTAATCATATATATATAATGTCAAAAAAAAATGTATTTGAAATGCTTCTAACTTTACATTTAGTGCCAGTTCTCAAATCAAGGGCGTAGAACGGAAGAGAAGAAATGCCAATAAACTCTCCGCCACTCTTTTTAATCGCCATGATTTTTTTACACAAAATAATGTATTTAAATTTTTTGTTCGTTTATATCAAAATAATCAACAAATCATCTTAAAAATATATATCTCACCTCTCCTGGACTTTTTGCAGTTCAATATTATGATGCGCCAAGAACTTTTCGTTAACTGTATCTAAAGCAATATCTACAGCCGGACCACATCGTTCCAGGTCAAATGGGGAATCTAATCGAGAAGCCATCAAAACCCCAACTTTATAAACAGTTCGATCTGTCAATATACGCTTTACTATAAATGCCAATAGAAACAAACGGGACAGCTTTATTAAATACATTTTATAAAATGCGCGGTAATTTACAAAAAGTTTATATTCGAGTTGTGGACGCGACCGTCTTTCAGCGAGGTTGTGGAAAACTGAAAGCATTCTGGAACCATTGTTTGGTAAAAGTTAATGCGCACTTGTTGATTCCCGCCATTCGTCTGTGAAAAGTGAAATTGTGTGTTCATTAGGGAAACATTCATTCCGAAATGATTGCAAAAATTACACGTTTCAATATAAAGTGTTGTGGGCGAATATACAACACTATTTGGTTAATTTTCGATGCATTATTACATGACATCTATTTGTATAAAATATTTAACTTTAATACTCATACTAACCTTCTTACAAAGTTTTTCTTTCTTTGTAATCCTAAAAGTTTTCTATACGTACCTACGGCTCGCTTATCTGCTTGTTTTAATGGTCCAGTGAATTTGATTACTAACATTGATGAAAATACATTATATACCTATTGTATGTATGTATTTATATATTTTACAACAGTCTTCCAACTTACCGTAACCTTGATTATCATGCTCTTAATGAGGTTTAAGTTTTCATTTAATTTTAGTAATTATTATTATTTTTTTAGTTATTATTCTGTGGTTGTTTGTGAATTTTTTCCCTTGCTAGCTTGCTTATGTTCTAATATAATTGATGTGTATGTGTATGTGTGTAAAATTTGTGATGCCATATTTTCTTGTATACTTTTTATGCGTACACATTATTTTATAACTTATAAATAAATTATGCTTGCGCCTCAAAGTCTTTCTGTAGCCAATAGGTTTAAGCGTAAATATAATAAAGGTTTTAGGTTCCACGCCTGTGACACAATGACGAAATTATTTTTAACAAGTTGAGAAGTTGCTAGTCTAACAAACATATGCATATACGAGTACATAAACATACATCGCAAAGCTTCATAATATGTCACGTGGCTCTAACATATTCTACCTTCTGTCACACGCTACATTTCCTCCTTATAGTTAAAAGTATTATATATTTTTCTACTGTTACCTAAAATAGAACAAAGTTATAAACTAACCTTTAAGGGGTATTTATTTGGTAAGTGTGTTCTGTTGTAAATTTTGTTTTTGTAATAACGCGAATAATGGTTATGGGATGTTATCGTTAAATCTTATTTAACTGCCAACCTAAACTGAAGTATTTCTGCATTTAATGGTTAGATATAAGAACCACTCATAATGGTCCTTGTGTAGGTCAAAAGCCATTAGGCTTTCTTTGTCTTTTTTTAGTTTTAGTCACTACTAACTAAATCATTGCTGATTTATCATTACATATTTATTTTTATTACTTCTGTCATTAAAAAAATATTTGACTTTATTTTTATACTATATATGTTACTATAACCATGTCTTGGCATCAGATTGCTATTTGGCAGAATACAAAATACCATCCGTATCACCTCGACGTCCGTCGTTCCACAACTGAGCGTTGCTTAAGGCAGTTTTTGCCGCGCACCACCACTATATCGAACGAGCTGCCCACTGAAGTATTTCCGAACCAATTCGACTTATGGCCCTTCAAGAAAAGAGTGTACCAATTCTTAAAAGGTCGGCAACGCACTTGCGAGCCTTCTGGCAATGTGAGTTTCCATGGGCAGAGGTACTTAGCATCGGATGAGCATCCTGCCCGTTAGTCTCCTAATACATTAAAAAAAGTAATATCAGTATTTTGTGCCCGAAATATCTATTTCTATCATATTTATGTTTTCCTTCTTGCCTATATAGAAATATATAACGGTACCTACACTGGCGGGGTCGATCACAGTGTCGACAGTCATTTATTTATAACGACTGCAATAAACAAATTCCACCGCGGACACTTACAATTTTGAAATCGGTTAGAGCTTTTTGATAAAGAATTGAAGATGTTACATTAAAGCGACACATTTCTATACTCCAAAACCGGATGTGCCATTAGATAATTCCTTCATAAAACACTTGGAGTGTGAACAAAGAGCGTCGTGCACGAGTCAGTGGACACTGGAGACCATTATTTCAAACTTTACGAGCGAGTGTCCATCTTGAGAACAACGGTTAGCGTGATTTTATTGCTGAGCTGTCTAGTTTTATAGTAAGTTATAATCGATGCGTTAAAGAGCACTCAACTTTAATAAGAAGGTCAAAGTAGGTCTATTTTATTATGCGTTAACTAGTGCCACAATAAAATTTTGCTACGTAGTTTTAAGCACTAAGGTATCCCTCACAGAACAATATACGTAAATCCTTCATGACTGAAAGTTACCTATATCTCGACAAAATAACCAACATGTAAAAACAACTGGTATAATACACTAAAATAATGTACTACTTTTGGAAAAATATAATAAATATAATATTCTATTAATGACTGAAACATTATAACTAATTTGATAACGTAATAAATAATAATATATTTTAATATTCATCGGTGGGGAAAGGGGCCAAAAAAAATTAACAATTGTAAAACACTATTGCATGGACATCTCGACGCGTCAGATAATAGCATCAATGCCCTAGATTTTTAATAATGACGTATGTTAATCTAATCGTTTGCATGATGCGGTGGTTAGATGAAAAAAATAAAATTATCGAGTCAGATTTTCTAAGGGATTTGTGACCAAAAAAAGCTCTCATTCACTAATCTATTTCGATGGGAGCAAACCCACGGCCATTTTCATAATTTGCAAAAAAATGAATTTGATACTCAAGCGCGTCAGATTAAGATAAATGTGGTTCATCTTTATGTTCTAAACGTACTGTCTCATAACCTGACGATTTTTGAGGGATACGCCTGATCTGACAATTTTTTAGAAAACCGGTTCAGCTAAAGGGCCATCCCTGCAACTTCCCGATATTCCATTCCTGGGCGCTTAAATTATATTTGAGCTCGCTGAGCTTATAGAAAATATTCTATGCATTTGAGTTCCACGAAAGTCTGATAGAAGTGTCATAGACTATTTGGAATTTTCAAAGCAGTAACTTTTGAATGGATCAACAATTATCACGCGGTCTATCATCCTCATATTATTTCAATTTTATGATCGAACCACAAATTTCGGGTAATCCCGAAAAACACTTTTCGGGTTTCTTTCGTTCACGATATCTCTCGAACGAATCAACCGCTTTTGACCAGCTTGGTGGCGATCGAGTGGTTTTCAAGCTCAAAGGCGGATATTTTAGTTGATCGAAAAAAAATTTAAAAACATATTTCTTATTTTTTAAGATTTTTCAAAATTTTAAAATCTTTAATGTTAATTAAGGAAATGTAATTTTAGGGAAATATTTAAACCTTAGTAGATTCGATGGTTTAAGGAAATGTAGCATACCACTCACATTTAATTTATCGACAATTTTTGTTATTTCGGCTAAATGTCAATTATATATTTTTATTATTTTGAATTATTTCCTTCAAAATAAAAAGAAATTAGTACCCAGAATGTCGAGATGACGTTTTTTTACAACTTTGTTGCCCTCCCCTTTTTTACGTACTTTAAATTGTCAGATTAGTGGAATATACACTTTTAGGATTAATTAACTCACCCTACATCTACGCCTCGGGAATTTGATGGTCAATTTTTTTATATCATCCTTTTCCTTCAGCGCCTATATTGCTCTTTATACACTACCCCTTTATTAATTTTTATAAATCCCGAAATCCTTTTCCCTACCATTGGGCTGTTTCTCTGCGCCCAACTCCATTTCTATTAAAAACGGAAGGCACCACCAACATTATTGCGGTGTGAAAAATTATCCGTCAATAGTCTTGCACGTAGATTTTTGGCTCCAAGAAAAAATAACAATATAACCGGAGGTCTAGAACCCATACAGCGTTTTTTGGAATTCGCGGGACACGGGGCGGGATTGCCCAGTCCTTTGGGATGCTTATTATTACTATTAAATGAATAAAACACATTTTCAACATGACATTTATTCAACAAAACCTCTACACACGTTTACACATTATGCATAAAATATTTTATTACATACAAGGTACCGTTTTCAATAATTATTATATAAAACAATATAGGTATACAACATTAAACACAAACAAAAATAGAATCTTCGAATACAAACGTTATTAACAAATTAAAAAATACAGGCATATAATGTGAGTTGCAACTTAACGCCAAACTGACAATTATCACTAAATGTCATGTCAATAAACGACAAATAAATGCAAAACGTTAATGCCTATGGAACATTTTAGTATTTCAAAAAATACAGACAGATTTTAGAGATTATTTTTCCGACCCAAATATCGACCAATAGAATTGCACCATTCGACGTCACGTGGTACAACCTACATGGTATTATACTGATAATTTTTTGAAAATTTTCTCTGGTAGTTGCTTCAAGAAAAGTATTAAGTAGTTGTTTTATTCATTATGAAATTCTTATTTGTTAACTGTACATTTCGTCTCATGGTGCAATTCTATTGGCCGACATTTGGGTCGGAAAAATAATCCCCCGAATACCACACGAGCTTCAAAATTATCGGGTATTTCCCGATAGGTTCGTTGCAAACAAATGAAGGAGTCAAGTTTTTCAGGTTAAAGATTTTTTAACCTGAAAAACTTGACGACTTGTGGTATTATAAGTGAATATTCAGAAACGAGACTCACGTATTTCAAAAATGAATTGGGTTTTGACAGAAGCGAATCCGAAAAATCTTGTTTCTAAATCTTAACTTGTGCTGAGTATAGTTTCATTATAATATGAATTCTCGTAGTGTAATGGGGTCTTTATTTCCTTATGGTTTATTTTACAATACGCAAAAATCAAGAAGCTTGATTCATGAGTCATGGTAGCTCCAAACGGTAACACGCGATTTTAAAATATATGCAACATTTTCACATTAAAAATGATATAAATATATTCAATATATCTTAGGCCTTTAAACATATTGGGGTTTCGCTATATTATGTATTGCAATGATTTATAAAGAGATTTTTGTAGAGCCTGGTTACTGTTAGTTACTTTTAAAGAATATATTTAAAAACTTTAAAAAAAAAATTATATTTTCAATCCGATAATTAATGATTTAAAAACTTGTAAAGATACGCGCTGCAACGTAGACTTTCTCGCATCTATATGATTAGTCCCTCTGGCAAACTGTAGCCCGTAAACAACTAATATGTAAATTTAATTAGCTATCGTAATAGAAATGTTGCATTTTTGAATGTATAACACAATAAGCGTACGCATATTTGAATACCATTGAAAAGTAGACGATATGTGAACGATATGTTCACACGCTTATTGGTCTGCATTTCTGTCACGGCTTGTTGTGTAAGGTATTTAAAAAAAAATCTCAAAATATTTTTAAAGACCAGGATTTAGCCTACATAACACATCGATAATTCCCTAACCACGGCTATTTTGTTGGAGTCCATATTCATACTTATTAACACTTAAGCCTTCTAGGGGTGTTTTCAGGTCTTGGGGTTCTATTCCTATCACCTACGATACATTCAATAACAACTAAAACAATGACTAGACATAGACCATACAAACACTACTTACTAACCAACGGAATATTTAAACTTAAATGCAATTTTGACATTACTGAGTTTAGATTAAATTATTAAATGTCGAAGCTTCGTATTCACATAGAATAATACGAATTAATATTACAATGTAGAAATGTTATGATATATACCAGATACTATTTACTTTTAAAAATTATTTCACCTCTATATTATATTTAACTGTGTAGTCTGTGCGATGTCAATAAGGGGAATATGTCAAATTTTATGAAATCGCTGTATTCGTCAACTTTAGAATTAACCATAGATAAAGACATATTTGTTACAGAAGAAAAAGTAAAAATCATTGATGCACGCTCTATACATTTTAGTACTTCTTACGTCCAGTGAACTTTCATCGTTATATTTGGAGAGCCACAGTAAATAAAGCTTAGTGTTAGAATATGCATGTGTTAATTTGGTATAAATCAGAAGATAAATACCCATTTATCAATACTTATGTCTTATTCCAAAGGATATCCAAGTCCTATCTCGTCTTGGGAAAACGATTTGACAGCTATTGTCACGGAATACAAACACTAAATCTACTTTGACACGATGTTATTGCACTTGAGTGAAGTCACTCTAATTTACAGTAGATTAATCTAGGTATAATTTGTCGTACACTCTAACCTGTTATATAATAAAAAGCGGGCATAAAATGTAATGCATAGTGTTATGTTAAATGGCAACACATTGTCAGCACTCGTGCGCTTCCATTTCACCAAACATTTATTTTAGTATTTATTTCATTGAGTCAGGAAGTCTTGGAAGTTGTTAAACAAACCCTAACAGTATGAAAACTGCAAATGGAGTAAAAATGATATACTCGTACCAACTACGTTTGTTTTTTTTTTATTTTGAAAACTCCAAGTCGTAAGTGATACGACAAATGATACCTAGTCCTTACACCTACACTCGGTAGAAACTACGTTAAAATTTGTGCGTATCGACCTTAATTACGTTATCAACATTAAACACTAATAAACACACATCAAATGAATTTACCATATAAATATATAATTCTTTATCTTATTGCTGTCTCTGTCACACAGATTAAGGAGCTCATTTGATCTCACTTATACACTTAATTGTACTTTAAGGTTATTAAAACCTAATGAAATGGCAACACTACAGTGAAAATTTAAAACTCCTACGAATTCTAATTTCAATTATTGTAAGACAATAAATACTTCAAATATATAACAATCAATACTTTTTATATACATCAAAGCATTATGTTAGTGCCATTATATGACGTAATATTCATCATAACATAAATTCCATGGGGTTTAAACTGTATGCCAATCGTCATATATGGCACTATAACGCCATCAAAGAAATTTTAAATTATAAAAACCCAACAATAGGCCATTTGACAGTATGACAAATCAAGTGTTATTGAATAATCTGTATAAAAAAGACCATCAATAGCATTATATAGTAAAATAACTTAAATAATCAATTTATTAATAAATCCGTAATATAATATATTTATTATATTATGGACACAGATTATATAACGCTCACAGATTAAGCGAATCGACGACATAGCATCCTTGTAAATAATGTTAACACAATTTAATCTTAATATGTATTTGTGTAATTTAAGAAATATACTTAAAAAGGAAAAAAACTTGAAGTTTGTTTACAAGCATGGTACATCATAGGGACTGCTCCATCTTGCCATTTTTAAAGCCAATACTAAAAATCTAAAATGGTTTTAGAACCATGTCAAATAGCCCATTATATCAAAATATAAACGTAACCGTATTAAATACTTCAAATCAAATATACATCAAAATAACGTTACACACTATATATATGTGGGGTATATTCTCACTATATCGAAAAACTATGGGCCGATTTTGCGAACCGTTAGATATCTCTCGACAAGGGGTTGTGATAAATTTTGTTTCAAACGCAGCTTAAGCAGCGCCCCGGTGGCGTATTTGGAACTAAATGGCACGCACTTTCGCTTTTTTATTAAATTATTACATGGCCACAAGTCTTTTAGTCAGAATAATAGACTACAAACTAAATGTATAAAAACGTTTAGTGTTGCCAACATTATTATATCGTTTATATCTAGTCATGATTTGGGTATCATACAAATCTCGGGTTGAGAGATATCTCACGATCACATCGCGTATTGGGCGGATTATAACGCCCTAAAGAACTATATTATCAATTCCGTTTTAAATTGATTACAACTATATTAAACTAGTGACACTTAGGATTTCTACGGGTTCTCTATTATGGATCTTACAAAAATGCAGTTATCACTATACAAATCGACCACGCGTTTGTCATAAGGGAATTTTATTATTGCTTGCTTGGACTCACGGAAGACTTTGTGCTTCATTTTCAAGAAATACATGGTTTGTAAGGCGAATTTTTAATGATTCAAGTTAAACACTGTAATATTTGAAGGGTCAATACAAATTTGAAGAAATAATGGTAACCACAAAGTACTAAAATTAGTAAAAAATCAAGAAATCAACCAGATTAAGGATTCAAAATAAATATAATAAAATAGAAATATCCTGATTTATTTTTACATAAAACGACAGATTCAAATTATTTGTTAAATTTCGATTAAAAATTTGGTAAATTACAGAAGAATACAGTACACTTTTGGTTGGATTATTTAATTTTTTATTAATTAATGCCTAAATTTCTCCCTTGGTTTGTGTTTTATATTATAATTTTTCTTCATATTGCAAATTTAACCACCGCAATAGAAACTTGATTAGGCCTTAAAGAAAAACTAGGCCTTGAAAGGCAGAAAGTGCTAAACAACACAAGGTGTGCTTAAACTATTTGGAACACAATATGTAGATAGCTAAGGATAAATATGAGGTAGTGAAAGGTTTATAAATTAGTTATATTTAGCCTTAGGGCTATAACTACAGTGCAACCTTAATATAACGACTTCCTCGATTTAACAAAATCTTCGTAATCCCCTTGAATTGTCCATAAGAGTCAGAATGTAAAATATTTCTTTACATTACGAAAATTTGTGCAACCTCTTTATAACGAATTTTCAACTATCACGAAAAAGTATAAATACCTCTTATTAACGAATTTTGTCAACCCAAAACCTTTATATAAAGTTCACCAATGTAATGACTCTTAATCTCATAGTATGTGATACATGTCGCGACAGGTCCGACAGGCTTTTTTCGTAAAACAATCATTGTTCTTTGATGGAAAGTAATGTAAACACTGCTGTTTGTTACTATTGCTAAAGTTCATTTATCAAAAACTATTTTTTTACCTCTTTATATGGAATTTTAGACCAACCTCACCTCAACATAACAAACCTCAGTTCAACGAATGATACAACGAATATTTACATGTTCCCTTCGATATCGAGGTTGCACTGTATTAAGAAATACTAGGAAAGTAGAAGCCGAAATAGCATAGATCTTAAGCCTCCTAGTATTTCTTAGAACCTGTACACGGGATATTAGACAGAATGATCATTTATATCTTAATTAATATAACCTCGGTATATGAGGTACATTTTAAAAACCAATCATAATCTCAATTTAAATATGCGCGAAACTTGTAAAAATTAAGTTTTATTTTCCATAATAAATGCAATTTTCTAGCGCATTGATAGCACCAGTAAATGAAAACCTACTAGGTCTTAGTCGAGAAAAAACGTAACCAGTTTTATATAAATTTAAAAGATACTAGAAAAAAAAAATAAGACAGCAAATTAGTGAAAGTTGAGTTGATTGATTAATCTCGTGATCACTTATAAATTTGAAATAAAATTTGACTTTTAAATAATTATTAAATAAAGCGACACCTGCGAAAAAGTTTTAAATATGAGTTGCAGTTACCATTTAGGACTATTCAAGTGTGCGTCTGCGCCGACGAAAGACGAGCGCAAATATACTGCGCAGGCGTCGCCAACGACGGCGACCACCGCCTGTCGATATTCCCGTACCCACTAGGGATGACTAGAAAAAGATATATGGGTGAATCATCAATACTAAAACTAAAGACGTACATACGCTGTGGAAAATTCATACAGAGATAGTTTAAGGAATCGTCATATAAAAAAACAGTTGCGCTTCAACCTTTTTAGGTCTGGGCCTCAGATTTTTGTATCTGTTTCATTTGTCAATATAATAGGCAAGTCCGTGATCCTCCAGTCATGACACACGCCGTCGACTTTTTGGGTCTCAGACAAGCCGGTTTCCTCACGATGTTTTCTTTCATCGTTTGAGCGAATGTTAATCCAGGGATCGAAATTACGACCTGAAGCTGAAGCCACTAGGCCAACTGTTCTTCCTGTGTACTTACTTATTCTGTGACATACATAATAAAATAACGAAAAAGACATTAAGTGGAGTAAATGTGAACTTTATCAATTATTAAATATTTGGTCCAAACAATATTTTGATTATAATTTAATTTCTTTTGCTGGCAACACTATACACTTCGATAAAGCTACGAAATTTACAATCTAAAGAAAATGAGATTTTGTAAACTGATTCTGTAATTGTGCAAATGAATAAGACTGATAATTTATTTTAGATATTACAGGAAATAGTTAATGTACCTGTCTTTGTCTTTCAAGTCGGCGAACCTCCCTGACCAATGCGTGGAAAGCATCATCAACGAAGTGACGCAACGCGGCTGATGTTTCGAAGAATGGACAACCCAGTTGTGTAGCGAGTGCTTTGCCCTCTTCTGTTGTTACCTATAAAAAAAATTATACAATCAAGATATCCTTATGCTTTATAAGAGGGTATTTCTTTTATTTAAAAGGTAATAATTCTTGATCCAGATTCATTAGTGTTGTAGTTCTCGCCACCTAAAGAGTGCCCAAGCGGGGAAGCAGGGGTCCATGCGTTCAAAAGAAGGGATGGTGATCCATCCCTGCAAGCACTGGGCACGATCTCCCCTAGCTATTCCAAGTGTATGGCCCGGTCTGGGAAGGATACTTGCTGTGTCAAGTATCTTCACAAATCAACAATGGGCGGGGAGAGGCGGACGCAACCGCCGCATCGCATGTCGGGAAGCGGATAAGGCTCTGCTGTTACCGCATCCCGCCTAAGGCGATTGTTGGTGGCGCCTTGGGGTTTTAGTGGGTATGCACAATCGCGAGTCCCACATAACCCTCCCGCACTAAGCAGTCGCACCGCGGTAGGGTATGCGCAATGCATTTCCCCAAGTAAAAATAAAAGATTCATTAGTGTTAAAAAAATTACGAAGTCACTTAGGGCTTTTATTTGAATTGTGCACTCAAATCAGTGTTGCAACTTTGACTCCAACCATCATTCCACATATGCAAAATCAATTCAATATTATTGTGATCACAGCATTTTATTTAACAATGGATGAATTACAAATCTCAGTCAATCAATACCTAATTTTAAGATATAAAACATCAGAATGTATCCCTTTGTTAACTACAAAATGTGTGTATAAATTTGTGTATGTGAAATATTGGCTAGTGAGATCAGTGTTGGCCTAGTGGCTTCAGCGTGCGACTCTCATACCTGAGGTCGAAGGTTCGATCCCCGGCTGTGCACCAATAGACTTTCTTTCTATGTGCGCATTTAACATTTGCTCGAACGGTGAAAGAAAAAAATCGTGAGTAAACCGACATGTCTTAGACCCAAAAAGTCGACGGCGCGTGTCAGGCACAGGAGGCTGATCACCCTACTTGCCTATTAGATTTAAAAATGATCATGAAACAGATTCAGAGATCTGAGGCTGATAAATAGATCAGTGGCGCTACAATCCCTAAAGAGGTTGTAGCGCCACTGATCTATTTATTTTATGTGAAATATTTATTAGTTTTCATTTATAGTATATTTTGAACTAGAATATAAACAATCCAAAAATGTTCATACAACTTACCTGTCTAAATCTAGGAGCCAAATCCAGTTTATTACCAACCAATACCAACGGCAGCGTCTCAGATGGTCTTGCCTGTGCCAGCAACCTTTTATATTCTGATGCTGCCCTAAATGATCTTTTGTCTGTTACAGAGTAACACAGCATAAAACCTTCTCCACATCTCATGTACTGTTCCCTCATTGCTGTGAATTCAACCTGTAAGTTTTCACCTTGTATGACTACCATACATTCATTCTCGAACAGGTTTGTCTATAATACAAGTATAAGTCGGTCTCTCAGCAATACAAGGCCCTAACTCAAATTTTTTTCTAAAGATATATAGTATAGATGGATTTTAAATGCTATGGGCACAAACTGAAACTCTCCAGCCCCTGGCAACATATTTGGACCTCTCTCACGCCACTACAAATTAGTAGTGTTCATATTTAAAGAAGTTACACTACTCAAACTTTCCACAATTCGGGATGGTACCCTTTGATCACAAAAAACATGTGAATTTCATATTTGATTCTATATATTATACAAAATGTAGTTAAGTAGGTCTTATAATTAAAAACTCCAGTTGTTACAAGGAATTAATTGTAGTTTGTAGTTATTAATTGTATTCATATTCTTTGTACTAAATGGGCAGGCTAATTTGTGCTGGACAAATAATTTTTTTAATCTATCTTGATTAAAATTAATTTTCAAAAAACAAATCTGTAGTCATAACCAAGACAACCAGTCATAATAAAGCATTTTATTTAAAATCTTCAACTGTGATTTCCCAAAATTCTTCTTTTTTCAATTATGCCTTTTTATTACTGATGGTGCAAAGTTTAATACCTTATACATAGGTTTATCAATTAATTATGTATTAATTGATAGACCTATTTAATTCATACTTAAAAGATACAACACACACCTGTCCTGCAGTATCCAAAATATCAAGTAAGGCAGGTTCTCCATCAATTACTGCTTGTTGTTGGTATGAGTCTTCTGTAAAAAATGTTTTGCTATGAACAAAACATATAGTAGTAGTTATGTTAAGGCCCTATTTAAGTTAACAAAATTAAAAGGCCCGCAACACAACAAGTAAAGTTATAGTTTATAGCATTATTTTTTTCTCAATTGATTACAGTTTGCTTATTTCTGTTAATAACAATAATATAGGATTCCTTTTATTCTATGTTATTCCTCCAATCAAACCATGATAATAACTCTTTCTGTTGATAATGCATTAACCGCTGGTAGGCTTACCAATGGTGGGATCATGGTAATCAAGGAAGCTATGGCTGACAAACTGGAGAGTGACCGCCGACTTGCCCACCCCACCGTCGCCAAGGACCACAATCTTGTAGACGCGAAGGCCACGCGACGTGCCCGCAGCCTCTGTCATACCGCTGCATGCCTGCGTGCTCGGGGGCCCAGCCGAGCCGCGCCCGCCGCGGTCACTCGACAAACTCCTCGCCCGCCATCCGCAAAGACCGCCGCCCAAAACCACCACCTTGCTCACGTTAATGGTAAGACATTAATTTCCACTCCAATGAGGACACATTTTATTCATCTTTAAATATATTTTGGCTTAATATTATAATTTGAAACAAATAAAAAAGTCGCAAAATCTACAGCTGATTAATGAAAAAATTTAAGGTCCGTAGACTTGACAACTGACAATTTTATTGTTAAATAATGATAAATGATGAATGCTTCAAACTTCCGGAGTTGACATTTGACTTTTTGAATTCTTGTATTAATAACAAGAGTCAAGACAGTAAACACTTAATTAATATATGTGTTGATAATATTTAAACATGATAGTTTTTAACCATTATCTTTAAACTAGCCCAGATTTAAGGTCTATATATAGGTTTAATGGTTTTTAAACCATTTTGAGATGGCGCATTTACAATTTGTGGATGAACTGGTTCGCGAATATTTATTGTTCAGAGGATTTGCATCTACTGTAAAAGCATTCGAGAACGATTTAAAGGCTGATAAAGACAAAGGATTTAGAGTTGATAAAATTGTAGAACAAATAATGCATTATATAAACGTTTCCGACTTAAACGGCTTTAAAGATTATTGGACTCATCTTGACACTTTAGTTTTTACAAAACTTGAAGTTCATGTTCAACCCGGTAAGTTGAAAAAGTTCACCTTTTGAATTATACCCGTGAATCGTTGATCTGTATCAGCTATAATTTTTTTTAAATAACAATATTTCTGTTACAGCTGTTCGTAAAATTGAATACAGCCTGTACAAACTTTACTTAGTGATTGCTGCACAAAGTACAGGAGGTGTCAGAAATGAAAAAGTTGCAGATTTCTTTGCTAAAATGCTTCCTGAGCTCCAGGGTCAAAGTGAATGGAGAGATTGGTTTAGTAAGACCCTTTTTTTTTTAAATAATATGGTAGTTAAAAGCAACATTTCACAGAATTTCTTTCTTCACATCAAGTATTTAATTTCATTATGACCTCTTATTTTTAGTGTTACCATACATTCAAAAACCTGAGGAGAATCCATCATTTAGCCTATACTTTACAAGGGCCTGGCAGGACAGTGTGTTAGTATCACTGCACAATTTACTAGCTACCGTCTTTCAATGTATGCCTCAACCAACACTTACGAGCTATGAAAGTGATGCAGCATTAGTAAAGAGACTGCAGGAAGAAATTGCTACTTTAAAAGGAAAGGTAGGATTATAGCATTCTTTTATCAAAACACAAAACAAAAGAGGAATTTGAGTTAATGACAATTGAATGGCTTTTAGAATTATTTATAGATTTTTAGGTTTTAAAGAACAAATTTTCCCCAGAGCTGAACATGAACCTATTAAAATATAACATATATAAGGTTTGTTGTAGGGAATCAAATAAACACGTCCATCTCGTATGATATATCGTGTACAATTCCACTTAATAATTAGAGAACATTTCTCTTATAGGCTAAGGTGTTACATATACGAATATTATAGGTTACTTTTTTTATACTGATACTATACTTGATTTTCATGACACTTATCATGATTTTTTAATAAATTATTATATATTTCATTACTATAATTTTTTCAATTTGAAATAGTTTATATATTTTAAACCTTATTATTCATTTCCAGACACTACAGCAAAATGAAAAGATTTCACCAAGTGGTCACCAATCTCGACTAGCTCAATATTCAGAGCGGCTAAGCGGCCCATTACCTTTAATTGATGATTTCTCTGCAATACCCACAGAGCACCTAGATAGTGGATTGAGAGAAGCAAAAGGGTTACGTGGTCTGTTGCGTCAAATGGGAGGTAGTCCAGTTATGGGCAGAAAGTCAGGAAGATCTCATAGCCAAAATTAATTATTATTTTCTCAAAGATTTTTAATTACATAATAAGGCATATAATATTAATTATTAAAAAGAGCAATAATACTCATTCTGAATAAAACTTCCTTAACTTAACAGGGAAGGCTGTAAAATTAAATAAGATTTTTATACTTAAGTTTCCAAACTCGATCAAGGACCTGTCTTCACTTTTGTGTACAAATAAAGTAAAAGTCAAAATGTAGAATTCATTGCTTAGTTTTGCTCACAAATTTAAATAAAATATAATAAAGTAAAGAAGTATATGATTTATTATGCCCCAAGGTACCACCTCGAAAGAGGGAACACTAAGATATTTTAAAAAAATATACCACAGCAGGTTAACAAACAGCTTGCTAAAAATTATAAGTGTAAAAGATAAACTTAGGTACTTCTTACTTTAATTCTGAGAATATTATATAACACCACAATTAAAAAAATAAAGGCTATTCCTATTATTCTAAAGCAAGTTTATTTCCAAAGTATACAAGAATTAACACATCCCCACAGTTTAATGATAAAAATCCCTGGCTTTTAAATTTAATAATTCTTCAAAAAATAAAATATCTCCAAATTTTAAAAATTTCAAACCATTCATGTAAATTATGGCGTACACTGTATACTATATCAATCAATAAGGATGGGTGTATGACCATTGTGCCACCTGGCAACCCTGTTTAAAGCATCACTAATATTTTATCCGGCTATAAATAAAAAAAAAAAAAAAGCATCACTATTCACTGTGGCCAGCGTCGGTCAATTGTCAAATTAACTAAATTGCAAATAAACGAGTTTGGCGCTTGGCGGTCATGACTCCCGTCTCCCGGCAGATTTTGGTAAACGAAATAAACGCTTCAGTCAAGTCAACTATTATTTGGTAAAATGAAATTCAACTGAGGACTAACTTTGTGGTTGACACTTATTGAAGGATTACTGTGTTTAACAAAAGTAAAATAAATTAAGATCACAATGACCGGGTAAGCTCAACCTTATTTTAACAAAGTAATAAATATTGATATTTTTTTATATATCTTCACTTATTAGTACAGTAATTCGACGTAATTTAAATTGAAAAACACTAATAACTATATGTGCCTAGTAAGGATTATTAAATTTTATTTACGGTTATTATTGTTGGTACCTAATCTATACTAACTAAAATAAACCAATATGGAGCCATTCTTATAAACAAGCCATGAATGTTTTGAAATAGTAGTTACTAGTTAGTGTGGTAAATGGACTTTACCTTACTAAATGGCAATCACGCAGTTAAAACAATTTTTTGTTGTTTATTAGGGTTTTTTTTGAACAATGTTGTAAAATTCAAAATTAACGGATTGTTTATTCTTAAAGGCCAACAATACTGGCTTCTGATAGTAAACTAAAAAATATATAGAATGGTTATTTGTATTTATATTCATTTAGAATCAAATGCATGATTAAAAACATCACATACACACCTACACACCCTAACTTTACAGACCATCAAAATGATCCCCCTAATCTTCAACTTGATTAGCTACCGTTTTCTGTCGATACTCACACAAATAATTCATATATTTTGTATTTAAATTTGCAGGAAATCTTATACTATGAAGGAAATGAAGGCTATTGTCAACTATTTAGTAGAACATAAAGCCTTCAGTGAAATACGTGGCAGAAAAATGTGGATGGATTTTGCCAGTTCCAAGGTAAAATATTTTGTTTTGTTTTATATAAGTCTCAAGGTGTACCTTATTTCAACTGTCACCAACAATCTGTGGACCCTGACATTTGCCACACGGCTCACAAGTGTGTTGCGGGCCCTTTTAAGGATTGACATACTTCCTTCTTGAAGGACCCTAAGTCATACTGTTACTTTGCGAGAGTATGGCTTTTTAAAAATTTTACTGTGTCTTAGGAAAATTAAGTTTGTATATAAAATATTTCTTTATAACAATGATTTGTAATAAATTTTAGGATACTACACGAACCTGGCAAAGTTTGAAGGAAACCTTTCTTAAAAGAATTTTACCTGACATACACAACCCATATTATAAACTAACTCTTGTAGAAATTGCAAGTTTTAAACAGGGGTAAGTTTAAATAATAATTTCACTTGCTATTTATGTTTTGTTTATATGTTCTATATTCAGGAGAAGATATAAATCTTCAACTTTGTAACCTGTCTACTTTTTCAAATTCAAAAATATGATTATTTAATATGTATTATTAAATAAATGTCCTTTTGTAGATTAGACATTGAATCAAAACTGGATAACAAACTAGATCTCGAGCCAGTGAACAATCAACCAATACCTGGTACTTCTAAAGGTATGATATTTTATTGTATTTTTAAGCATTATCCTCTAGGCCTTGATTACAAATAAGGTTTTGTATAGTGTACCTTTAAACATTATACATATATAGTATGTCTAGTATACTATATTATGTTTGATAAAATACAAATCATTTTTTAGATCAGAAGTTAAAAGCAAGTTTCATAATGTATAAATCATTTATAAAATTTGATAATAAATTTGGTTTTAAGTTTGTCATTCAAAATCAATCATTAATTTTTTTTAGTAAACGGTCATAATGAAGATCAAGCAGAAGATGGTGAAAAAAAACAAGTAAATAAAGAGAATGGTGATGAACAATCAGGTGAGGACCATGTTAAAATTTCTGAAAACTTAAACAATATTAGAGATTCTACAGAGACAATAGTACTGGAGCCTTGCTATCATACTGCTGACGATATACGAAAAGATTTAGAAAATGACAATGCACAAAATAAAGCTGATACTCCAAAAGATGATCAAAAACAAAGTGATCTTCTGGAGCAGGACCCTACTGCAGATTGTGAAAACAATGACAAAATTAATAATGTTATTAAAGATACAACAGACCAACAAAATAAACTTCCTATAGAAATCTCAGACTCGGAAGAAAAAGAACAACAAGAATCAAAAAATATCGCCAATGAAACTGGCACAAAGGAACATGATCAAACCATAGATAATAATAACCCTAAAAATACTTCAAATTCAATATTAAGCGCAAATGATGCAGACCAATCAAAAAATCTGGTGGAAAATAAAGAAAATCTTGATAAAAGTAAGAATACAACACAAAGCTGTTCAAGTACTACCATTGACACGCAACTTCCTAATAATCCAGAAGAACTTAAAATATCTGAAAACGTTGAAACTACAAAAAAAGTTAATAAATTATCGCTTGACCGCAAAAGAAGTAATAGAGCGACATCAGAAACCGTACCAACGAAACGCAAGAAGATTAAGCAAAAATCAGTATCTGACTCAGATGCTCGAAAAAACTGTAAAATAGAAGAAAAACAAACGGAAGTTACTAATTGTGAAACACAACAGGAAAAATCTGATGCCAGTAAGGACCTCATCATGGATGTTGATAAAGAAATTACAAATTCGGAAAACCTGAAAGAGAATCGCGAAAACCAAATCGAAGTTAGTCACAATGCCCAAGTCACAAGCAATGAAGTGGTGGACGCGAACGATGAAAATTCCCAGTGTGGACAAATACAGGTTACTCCAGAAATTGAAAATCCCTGTCTGAAAAGTGTAAATTTGTACGAAGAACAATTCTCGTGCACAATATATAGTGACTCGGATGATGAACAGGGGGAGAAAAATAAAAACGAACAAAAGAAAAATGAAGTTGTACCACCGCAGAGGTCCAAAGAAAACATAAAAGTTATTTGCTCGTCCAGTACAGATGTGCCTAACAAATCCAATTTGAGAATTGTCGAGAAGAAACTTCGGGAGAATGCATTAGCCCGGGCATTTGGTTTTTCAAGTAGTAAGTTGTTACTGAAATTTACAGCTTTTCATCCTACCTTCTTGATCCCACAGCTTAAGACACTTTATTTCTCACAGCACGCATTGCATGGTTTATCATTTAAACATATGTACCGATTATTCAAACATAATTTGTTATAGATGGCCCTCGCAATCGGAAACGAAGCATCAGCTACAATAAAAGACGTCCAAGCTCTCACAAGAAAATGTAAGTTCCCTTAAATATAGCTTCTGTAATCAAAAACATATTGAAGTTGAAGAAATCCATAGCATGCAGTTTTAACATTTAGAATGCTTTTATTTCAGCGAAATATCCTCGGATTCTAGTTCCTCGAGTTATGATACTGAGTCTGACTTCGTCTCACCACCGAGAGGGGGGAACCACAAAAGAAATAGAAAATATTTGTAAGTATTTTAATCAAACTTGATAATTAGGTTTAAAACTTTATTAAACATCTTTTTTTTTAAGGTAAATTTTTTATCATAGGAATAGTAAATTAGCTATGTTAGTAAATTCAAATTCAAAAATCATTTAATCATATAGGTAACACATTGTACACTTATGATCGTTAAAAAAAAGAAATGTATACGAAATGCTTCTAACTTAACATTTAGTGCCACTTCTCAAATCAAGGGCGTAGAACGGAAGAGAAGAACTGGCAATAAACTCTCCGCCACTCTTTTTAATCGCCATGTTTTTTTTACACAACGTTTGTAAGGAGCTGCAACCATTACACCATGTTCCACATGACATCTTAAGTAATTAATAATAATAACATAAATTAAAAACAAAGACTTGTCCTCTATCAGTATAGTGTAAGCATGAAATATTAATATTTAAAAAAATCTCAGTATGATTTTATTCAGAAATGTTGTCTATTTAGGAAACCTGAATCTCATAGAATCCTTTCACTCGGAGAAGAAGGTACTCTATTTGTTATGAACGGAAAGAAAATATATCCAGTTATAAAAAATGGAAGGGCTTTGAAGACATATGTGAATTACTCTTCAGATGGTAAGTCATCATTTTTCTTGGTAAAGGTTTGTGAAACAGATAAATAGCGATGACATATTTTGGGTAAACGGAAAGTAAATTCTTTTTAAAAGTTAAAGTGGCACTTAAAATCTGGTATTTCTCTTATCAAGCTAAGAATAAAGGTCAACATAATTATTATTTAAAAG